ATAGCAGTACTTGGTTTCAAGCCTTGTGAGTGAATAAGCCATTTGCAGAGGCACCACAACAGCTTCCCAGCACCTGTGTTTTTTGGTCAGCAGCCGAGTGTCTGACACACTCGGAAACCCATCACCTGCTTAAGAGTCTCCAAACTAATCATCCCACCTACACATGGAGATCCCAGAGACAGATTGTTGGAATGGAATAACCTCTCTCTCTCTCTCTCTTTCTCCCTGGAGGGACACATCCTGCTTCACCTAATTCCGGAAAGTCCTGGCAGAAGGAAGATATACAGTAAAAACATAAATTCTGCCCTGGGCTGACTGAATACCGAATCACTCCCTCAGCTGTCTGTCTCCACACTACCAAAGCAGGACAGTCACATCAGGGTTCAGCGAAATGAACTGAATGGCACAGTGTACAGGAATGAGCGAGCAATATTGTGTGTGGGCAGCGAGGGGGAGAGCAGCAATCTGCTTATTATGAACCTTTATTATACGGGGGACATCGAAGAGGCAATTGATGCCTTGTGAAAATACTCAATAGGATTGGAATGCATATCTTGAATTTTATTCCTTGTTCCCTGGATTCTCGGTGGGTTGTTTTGACGATAATGTGGGTTTAATCTCAATGTTGCTTGTTTGGCTCATGAGGTTGTTGAGGAATACCCACAGGAAGGAAGCAGGAATGCATTAGCAGCGGAACATTTAAAGCTTATTCGGAGCTTCTAGCTTTTGTGGATTAGCCTGTTTCATCATAATCATAATAATCCTTGCATTTAACAGAGTGCCTTTCATGTTGGGAGGACATGAGGTCACAAAGCGCTTCACAGGATTTATTGAAAAGTGTAATAACTGTGTACGTTATGGTCAGACAATGAGGTTTAAAAGAATTTCTATAGTGACTTACAGGCTCCAAGTTGCAACTGGGGATTCCTTATATTAAGTGAGAAGACCTCTCTGAGGTGACCATATACAGATGTATCATATTCTAAATGGTATTGAAAAAGTAAACCCAGAATGGTATATAAGAATGCATTNAAAAAAATGATTGTTTGTGGGACACTGCTGTGTGCAATTGGTTGCCGCCTTTTGCCACAAAATAGACAGTCACTCCACTTTACAATATACCCTGTGAAACACTTTGAGATGTCTCAACGGCGTCGTAAGGCACTATATCAAATGCAAGGATTATTATTATTAGACAGTAAAACAAGAGGCTAGAGGTTTAGAGGTAAAGGCCAATTTCAGGACAGACATCAGGAAGTTTTTCTTTACACAGAGGATAATTAACAACTGGAACATGTTACCAGGAAGGGTGGTTGAGGTCAGGACATTGGGCCTCATCTAAAACAACAGTTTGATGATGTGATGGGGGGGATGCGTCTGAATCAGAAGGTTATAATAATAATAATAATAATCCTCGCATTTGATATAGCGCTTTTCACGTCAGGAGGACGTCCCAAAGCGCTTCACAGAACACACTGTAAAGTGAATTGACTGTATATTTGTGGGCGAACGCGGCAGCCAATTGCGCACAGCAATGTCCCACAAACAGTCGTAGATTGAAAATGACCAATTTATTATTGTTTTTGGTTTTTGGAGGGATTATTATTAGGCTCTGTGTGGAGTAAGGAAACTTGCCCAAGGTTTCGCCCTCTGCCTGGTTGTGGGTTAAAGCCTCAAATCAGAACTTTGAACTCACCGTTTTGGTTGACGCTCCAGTGCAGGGCAGGGTGTGTGCAGCAATGTTAGAAATGCTGTCCTTTCGGTAGAAATGGGTCAAATAGCTTTCTTCATCAAAACTAATTTTGTAAACTGGAACTGACTGAATCCTGAGTAAACCCAGACCGTGTTAGAGTTCCTGCAAATCCACACGATGCTCACTGGACAGTGGGTGGAGACCCTGTTTGGGGCTTGGAGCCCTTATTAAAGGAACTCAAAATGGCCACATTTTAGACTCCTTTGTGAAAGTTGGTGAACACTAAGCTAAATGGAAACAGTTTGCATTATCACTATCGTGCTCTGGGTTGGAGTGGGAGGGAATTTGAGAAAGTTGTAGCAATGTCGATTATATTTAACCAATTCTAGATCGTACTAGTTAGCTCTCATCCAGGACTGTAGCTCAGTGGTTAGAGCACTCGCTTTGCAAGTGAGAGACCTGAGTTCAATTCCAGGCAGAGGGCAAAACCTTGGGCAAGTTTCCTTACTCCACACAGAGCCTAATAATAATCCCTCCAAAACCAAAAACAATAATAAATTGGTCATTTTCAGTCTACGACTGTTTGTGGGACATTGCTGTGCGCAATTGGCTGCCGCGTTCGCCCACAAATATACAGTCAATTCACTTTACAGTGTGTTCTGTGAAGCGCTTTGGGACGTCCTCCCGACGTGAAAAGCGCTATATCAAATGCAAGGATTATTATTGTTATTATTACTATGGAGTGTGAGGGAAATGAGTATTGTTCAGTGACTGATGTGGGAGATGAATCAATGGAAAAGAAACATTCTGAAGAGGAAACGGTTTGTATTGATTGGGAGCCTGCAAATATCCCTCAAAATTAATGGGAGCCAATCAGGAGATCCTCAGTCTTGTTGACGTTCAACTATAGGAAGTTAGCTCTCCTCCTGGACTTGATGTCAGGACAGCAGTGGTCATGGAGTCGAGGGTGGAACCAGAGAGGTAGAGTTGGGTGTCATTCGCATACATGTGGAAGTTGATCCCATGTCTGTGGATGATGTCACCAAGAGATATATGTATAGATATTGAAGAGAAGGGGACCAAGGACAGAGCCCTGAGGAATGCCACAGGGAGGGCTAGAGGAGAAACTGTTTGTGGAGACGGAGTGAGAGGTAGGATCTGAACCAGTCAAAGACAGAACCATGAAGGTTGAGGTGAGAGAGGCGGTGGAGGAGGATAGATTGGTCAACAGTATCGAAGGCGACAGAGAGGTCAAGGAGTATGAGGAGACATAGAGAGTGCTGGTCTCATAGGTGGACAAAATGTCGTTTGTGACTTTGGTCAAAACCGTTCTGTACTGTGGGCAGCACAGAAACCCGATTGAGGGGTTAAGGATATTGCCTTGGATTACTGGAGGCAACGTAAATACGTTCACTGTTTCTAAAGATCCCATCAAACTATTGAAAAAGAGAAGGGAGTTTCTTCTCTCCCGGTGTAATCATCCCCCAAATAAAAAATGGTCATTCGTTTCATGGCCGTTTGTGGGACATTGCTTTACGCTATGGGCTGCTGGGTTTGCCTACAAATAACAATGATCCTTGTATTTGATATAGCACCTTATCACGCCTATAGACATCTCAAAGCGCTTCACACAGTATACTGTAAAGTAAATTGACTGTATGTTTTGTGGGTGAAACGAGGCAGCCAATTGCGCACAGCAGAGTCCCACAAACAGTCATGGATTGAGTGACCAAATTATTATCATTTTTAAATTTTTTTTGTTTTGAAGGGATTATTACCCCCAGAAAAGCGATCCACCAATCTGACTGACAACTGGGTTCCTACTTACTGCTAGATAACCAGAGGCGTGTGGAATAAGAAAACTTGCCCAGTATTGAGCCCTGCCGGGAATCAAACCCAGGTCTCTCGCTTGCGAGGCGAGCGCTCTAACCACTGAGCTACCGGACTCCCATACAAAATTTATAGTGAGGTGACTCCATTTCACTGTAAATCCTGTGAATTATTTGAGAAGTCCTATCAACGTGATAAAGTATTATATCAAAGAAGCGAAAATTATTATTAAGGGGGCGATGCCGGAATGCTGAGTGACCTGAGGAGCTGGATTCCAGTTGCCAGTTATTTTCACTGTCTGTCCACAGCAGTGGATTTTATAGTGAGGTGCTCTCTACTGACTTAGCTTCTTGGTTCCATGCGTTATAACAGTGCAGCTCTACCATTCAGAGGAGTTTGACTCTCAGGGTTAAGAGCCTGGGATTGAAGTGGGGTGGTGGGGGCGGGTGGGGGGAACAAATCAGCAGAAACACTACTTCTATGAGCGAGTAGTAAATGTACAGAACAGGCTCCCTAGGAAGATGGCGGAAGCAGAAAGTGTTGTTTGTTTCAAGAACAAATTAGATGGATTTCTGTTAGAAAATAATATCTGGGGATACAATATGTAGTTTGGGACACGGCATGTCACGCGACTGCCAGGATGGTGGAAGGTGAATGAGGTGAACCTTGGACTTCGTTCATCTAGCAAATTCTTACGTTCTTATTCAACATCTCCACGCCTGCCTTGGGTTACTGCAGACCTGCCCAGCTTTTCCAGACATTTACTTTTCAGAGCCTGTTTGGGGTGAAGGGCAAAATGTAAGAAGCACTGTAACATGCACTGTGTCTGTCTCAGTGTCTGTTTTATTCCTAGAATTCCTAGAAGCAGTTGTGGATTTGCATTGCTTGACTGGGATCTGAATCCTTAACCTTTCGATCCTCAACCTTACCCTCCTAGCTGCCTGAAATGGAAATAAAGATGACTTTCTCCTTTTAAGTAAAAAAGTATTCCCCTTTGACACGAGAACAGCTCTTCAACCCAATTGCAGGAATCTAAAGTTCAAAGAATGTCTTATTAGTGCCTTTGCATTAAACCACTGCACCCCCCCTCTCCCTCCCTCTGCAACCACCAATTCCTGTTCTTTCGTTAAGCCTCTTAGCAACTCATTGTGACCTGGAAATCGAGTGTTCTGTGCTGTGGGTTTGAGGTGCCGCTCTGTTATCTCATTCCTGCAGGAAATGTAAATGAGTTAAGTGCTTCTGGGAGCAAGGCAGTGCAGGGCATTCGGTATCTGATTAATACACAACTGACTCAGCATCGTGGCACAGCAGAGCGCCAGCACAGAGCACACACAAACCAAACCTTTCGCTGCTCTGCCAGAAAAGCTGCTGCAGTTATCCGGCATTTGAAGGAGTTTGGACTTCAGCTGCTAATATTTAACAGGTTTCCCCTTTTCTGTTATAAATTTCAACAAAGTTTGTTTCGCTCTGATTGCAGGTTACACCACCCACAACGGAGCTGGGATGAACTGTGGAACTAAGCTAATGGATTTCCTGGATGAGCCTATCCCCGGTGTGGGGACGTATGAAGATTTTAATACGATAGACTGGGTCAGGGAGAAATCCCGGGACAGAGACCGGCATCGGGAGGTATGTTGCTGTGCTTTTACAGCATCTGCCATGTTTCACATTCACATACATACATACATACATACTTTCCTCCACTGTAAGAGACTGTTACAAACACCATCTTGTACTGTTGCTCACACTTGGCTCCTGAGTTATTTAGATTGCATTTTAAGATATTTTTGATAGTGATGGTCTATGTTGATAGAGTAAGTGTCTCCTTGTCATTTAGTCGCTCTCTCGCCTCTTGAATCAGAAGATTTCTGGACCTGTAGCTTAGTGGTTAGAGCACTCGTCTTGCAAGTGAGAGGACCTGGGTTTGATTCCAGGCAGGGCGAAATGTGAGGCAAGTTTCCTTACTCCACACGTCTCTGTTTACCTAGCAGTAAGTAGGAACCCGTTTGTTAGTCGATTGGCGGATCGCTTTTCCGGGGATAATAATCCCTCCAAAAAACAAAAATAAATTTTGAAAAATAATAATAATTTGGTCACTCAATCCATGACTGTTTGTGGGACATTGCTGTGCACAATTGACTGCCGCGTTTCGCCCACAAAATATACAGTCAATTCACTTTACAGTATGTTCTGTGAAGCGTTTTGAGACGTCTCGAAGACGTGATGAGGCGCTATATCAAAATGCAAAGATTATTGTAGGTTCGAGCCTCAAATTGGGAATTTGAGGCTCGAACCTCGACTGAATTTGAAGTAACAGTCTGGGTTGACACTCCAGTGCAATGCTAGGGGAGCGCTGCATTATCAGAGGTGTCGTTCTTTGAATGCGACATTAAACCAAGGTATCGTCTGCCTGTTCAGGTGGATGTTAAAAGACCTCATGGCACTATTCAAAAAGATAAAGGAGTTTCTCTCTCCCAACGTCCCAACCTACAATCCCCCAGATAAACTCAGTCGTTCACTTCATGGTTGTTTGTGCGACATTGCCGTGCATAAAATGGTTGCAGTGTTTGGCCACTAATAAACTTTGCAGGAAATCCTTTGAGATGTTTAGATGGTATGATAAGGCACTATATAGCTAGCCAGTGAAGTGTCCCGAGTACATACGAATAGTTGTTGTTTGTTTTCGCAAATCAAATGCAAGGATTATTTGGATGTTTTTGAGGGCAGGATTTGGGCTGTGTATCCAAAGGCAGAAACCCGGCTGCAATAAAACTGCAAAGTGGACGAAGTGGGACGTCTGCCCGATTTGAAAGCGCTACACAGATCTGTTGTTTGTTGTTGCGGGTGTCAGATGGTGACTTTTGTAACGTCATAAACGTCAAACTGATCACATCAGGCAGCTTCTCCCAAAGGGTGCAGATCCCAGGCAGGGGGAGGGGGAGCCTATGGCAGATGTGCCCTGGGATTCCTTCCCTCCCACCCCCGTGTGCCAGGTAAGCAGAGCAATAGCAGGCAAGAGCTTGCATTCCATCACTAACCTGGCCCAGCGCCCACACCGGCCCAGCCCCCACACCAGACACCAGGGGCCAAACACTCTCCTCCTCTGTTGTAAACAACGTGTGACCTTGTAGCTCGAGCGCTTATATTTCCTCACAGAGGTAGAATATTGCTATGGAATTTGTAGAATTCATGTCCTTTTCAAAGAACCTCATTTGTCTGGGTTTTACTGGTTATGGGCATACATAACTGGACGTACCTGGGCCCTAGGCACAGGGAGGGACAGACTCTATGTTAACAGTAGGAGCCAAAAAATGGGGGAGTCGGAGGGGGGGGAATAATAATAATAATCCTTGCATTTGATATAGTGCATTATCATGTCTTCGAGATGGTGAAACGGCCACAAAATAATAATTATTATAATTACTACAGCACAAAAAGAACTGTATCTTCATAATAATACTGATTAGTATTGGATGCCTGTTTATCTACAAAATTATGTACATATATATTATATATAGTGCCCTTCATGTAGGATAATTATCTCAGAATGCTTGACAGCAATAGGGTCTGATGCCGAGCAAGGGAGAGGGGCAAGTAATGGTCGAAGAGTTAGGTTTTACACAGTGTACAGTCAATACACTAGAAATTATACAGTTCATCCTGTGAAATGATTTGCGACATGATTAGATGCTGTATCAAACGTAAGGATTACTTACCAGCAACCCGTTGACATTGCTCTACATTGAACTCTGAATCTTTTTAATTTGGCTGCATTAGCTGTTCTTTGAAGCACTTTGATACATCTCAACGACGTGATAAGGCGCTATATCAAATTCAAAGATTATTAATATTATTTGCAAACTGTGTGAATCCTCTACTGTTTTAATTATTGAGAATCAAACTAGTTTTTTTTTTCCTTTTAACTGGCATTTATTAATAAAGATGTCATCCTAGACCCTTTGATCCTGTTAATTATTGCTGATTTGGCTTGTTCTTGCAGGTAATGTTTTTCCAGTGTTAATGTTTGGGAGCACAGAAGGCAGAATCCTGCTGCTAAAAGCATTTCGCCCACAAAATACACAGTCATTCCACTTTAGATATTCTGTGAAGCGCTTTGAGACGTCTCAACTTCGTAATAGGGTGCTGTATCAAGTGCGGGGATTATTATTATTGTATAATGGATCACAAAACTCCCCGACATAGATCTGAATAATCACAGAGTGTTATAGGGTTCAGCCCATCACGTCTGTGATTGGCTGAACCCTATAACACTGTGATTATTCATTGTTTCTTTACACGAGCCACGTGATCTAATCCTTCTCTGCTGTTTGCTCCCCCAAAGCCTTCAATATCCCTCTTTTTCAATCATCTACTTAAACCCCTTTCCAAATCATTGATGGCATAACTGTGGCATTACAGCTGATTGTGGGCTGGAGGGCAACCATTCACTCATCCATTGTGAGGGGTTGAGTTGCTCTTCATCGAGTTAGGCTGGCACAGTGTTAGTGCTCTTGTTTCTGAGTAGGAAGGTTGTGGGTTCAAGCCCCCACATCAGGACTTGGAATCAGATCGTCTAAGCTGACGCTCCAATACAGTGCTGGGGTTGTTGCATTGTAGGAGGTGCCGTCCTTCAGTTGAGACGATAAACTGAGCTCCCGTCTGCCTGTTCAGGTGAATGTTCAAGATCCCAGGGTGCTATTCGAAAAGAGAAGGGAGTTTGTCTCTCCCGTTGTCCTGGCCAACAATCCTTCAAATGAAAATTGGTCTCTCACTCCCAAGAGGGAGGCTGTTTGTGGGACATTACGGTGTCCAATTGGCTGCCATGTTTCACTCACAAAATGCAGTCACTACACTTTGCAGTATATCCTGTGAACACTGAGCAAGTCCTTGGAGGGTTTGAAGGCGAGGACGAGGATTTCAAATTTTATCCTCTGGGGGATGGAGCCGTGCGAGATAGGGGTGATAGGGTTAGGTAAGTGGGGTCTCCTTATAGCTGAACTGGCCCCAAGGTGACCTGTCTGGCAACGGCATTTCAGAATCGAGCCAGCACTCTGTGATGGTCTCTTGTCGGGTTCCTGAGCCAGGTGGGTCCGCAGTATTCCAGGGCACTCACTGCTGATGACAGCACAGCCCAGCCTGGCTCATCGGCAGGACCTGGACACACGCCAACTGAGGCGGGCCCACTGAGGTGGGCTGACACACGCCAACTGAGCCAGGCTGACACACGCCAACTGATCAGGGCTGACACACGCCAACTGATCAGGGCAGACACACCCAACTGAGCCAGGATGACACACGCCAACTGATCAGAGCTGACACACACCAACTGAGCCAGGCTGACCACATGATATAGAAGCAGAGGCATGTGTGCATATGATCCTTCTCTTACACATTGTAGGTCAGTCAAGGATTAAGGATTTTTGTTGGTTTTGTTTAGCCTTAAATTCACACTATTTTTCTTTTATTGGTCAGTTGTTACTGAGGTAAAGTATAATTTAATAACAGCTGTGTACTTTAAGTAATCAACAGGACATGCTGAATTGGAACAACTTAATCTGATGTTTCCTGTGTGTTGAGGTGACGGTTTCCCTGGGAACTCACTCTGTTATATGTCCTAATGTTATAATCGAAGAGGTCACTTAAGATTTAAGGATTTCCAACTAAATACTCCATTAAACAAACAACAACAATATTACATTTGTATAGCACCTTTCATATCAGGAGGACATCCCAAACAAATGGCAAAATAGTGCAGATGCTGGAAATCTGAAATAAAAACAGAAGTGGCTGGGAACCCTCAGCAGGTCAGGCAGCATCTATGGTGAGAGGAAAGTGAGTTAACGTTTCAGGTCGATGACCTTACGAGTTCCAGAGTTTCGGGGCGTAGTAGCTGAAAGCGCAGCCGCAAATGGTGGAATGGAGGGCATGAGGGACATGCAGGAGCCCAGAACTAGTCGAGCGGAGGCAGTGGGTTGGTGGATAGGCAGCTTGGAGAGGTAGGAAAGTGCCAGGGCATGAAGGAATGTCCTCCCGACATGCAGGATAATAGCAGTAGGCAGCATCGACATGTGGTGGCAGCCATTGGTCTAATATACAGTGGCACTTGTCTGCAGAGATTCCTTGCATACCCTGTGTTTCTTGTCTGAGGTTGGATGAGTGATTAAACCCAGGCTCTCTCTGCCTCTTCACGTGAGCTTCAAAGAGGAGCAAGGTCTCAAATTAATCGACCGAGAATCATAATCCTTGAATGTTAATGGATTAGTCTTCTTGCTGCTAAATAATAATAATCTTTGCTTAGTCCTGTAGTTAAGTGGTTAGAGCACTCGCCTCACAAGCGAGAGGACCTGGTTCAAATCCCGGGCAGAGCAAAATGTTGGCCAAGTTTCCTTACTAAGTTTCCGCCATTGAGACGTCTCAAATTGCTTCACAGGATATACTGCAAAGTGAATTGACTGCATTTTATGGGCGAAACACAACAGCCAATTGCAAACAGTGTTCCACAAACAGTCCCGCACAGTGTCTAGTTATCCCACAAACAGTCGTGGATTGAGAAATAATTTTTTTTTGGAGAGATTATTACCCCCGGAAAGCGATCCGCCAATCAACTAACAACTGGGTTCCTACTTACTACTGGATAAACCGAGGCGTGCAGAGTAAGGAAACTTGCCTAAAGTTTTGCCATGCCCGGGAATCAAACTCAGGTCTCTTGTTTGCGAGGCAAGCGCTCTAAACAGTGAGCTACAGGACTCCACACTTGTTGGATGTTCCCTCCATGTTTGCTTAAATAATAGTCACTACTACCTAGTCAACAGTTGAGTGCTTTGATATGACCTCCCTACGTGAAAGGTACTGTACAAATGCAAATTGTATTTTACTTCCAACAGTCTCAGCTTCTCCCTGGGCCAGAGCACACTGGGGGCGATAGTGAATATCCACATTCATTGAATGTAAAATGTTCAGAGCCGAAGTGAGGGTTTTCTCAAGCGAGAGACCCAGGTTGGATTCCTGGGCAGAGCGAAACGATAGGCAAGTTTCCTTACCCCACTCTCCTCTGTTCACCTCGCAGTCAATAGGAACCCATTTGTTTGTCGACTGGCAGATCACTTTTCCGAGGGTAATAATCCCTTCAAATAAATAAAAAAATTTAAAATAATAATTTGGTCACTTCAATCCACGATTGTTTGTGGGACACTTCTGTGCGCAATTGGCTGCTGTGTTTCGCCCACACTTTACAGTATATTCTGTGAAGCGCTTTGAGACATCTCAAGTGATAAGGCGCTATATCAATTGCAAAGATTTTTTTGGGGGAAAATCTCACTGGTCTAATTCTGCTCTTTTGTTTTTCAGATTACGAGCAAAAGTAAAGAATCCTTGTGGGCTCTCATCAAGAGTTTGAGCGACGCCTTCTCTGGGTGGCTGGTGATGCTACTGGTTGGGCTGATGGCAGGTATGGAGAGCGAGCAGCCTCAGTCACTCACACTCGCCTTCACCACACTGTGTGAGCTCACAACCCACCATCGTCCAACTCCTTGGATTCTGGTTCGTGAGCTCACACTCCATACTGACGTTCAAGAGTTGCCATCCTTCGAATGTCCCTTCCCCACCTGCCCCTCAACCCCGGCCCCTACTCAACCCTCCCTCTACACTTTCGCACCTGTCTCCCACTCCTCTCTCACCACCACTATAGCCCACATGAAACCAACCACCTGCTTCCTCGACTCCATCGCTACACCTCTCCTTACCTCCATCTTCTTGCCCCTCTACTCACAGACATCATAACCTCTCCCTGTCCACTTGTACTGTTCCCACCCCATTTAAAAGCGGCTGTCATGAATCCCATCCTGACAAAACCCTCCCCAGAACCATTCCTGCTCTCAAATTACCGCCCAATCTCCAACCTCCCTTTCCTCTCCAAGGTTCTGGAACGCGTTATTGCTTCCCAGCTTTGCTCCTTCCTCTCCCGCCACACCTCATCCACCGCCTCTCTCAACCTTCATGGCGCTGTCTTTGACTGGTTCAGATCATACCTCTCACACAGTCTCCACTTCATCTCCACAAACAACTTCTCCTTTACCCCTAGCACTGTCTCGTGCGGCATTCCTCAAGACTCTGCCCTTGGTCCCCTCCTCTTCAACATCTATATGCTCCCTCTTGGTGACATCATCCGCAGGCATGGAGTCAACTTCCACGTGTATGCGGATGACACCCAACTCTACCTCTCTGCCTCCACCCTTGACTCCGGGACCACTGCTATCCTGACAGAATGTCTGTCAGACATCAAGTCCTGGATGAGAGCGAACTTTCTAGAGTTGAACCTCAGGCACTGATAGCATCCATGGTTGCACACGACATCTCACTTGGCGTTTTGTTTGACCCTCAACTGTCCTTTCTATCGCATCCGTGCCATTCGTGGAATCCTGTAGCTCAGTGGTTAGAGCACTCGCTTTGCAAGCGAGAGACCTGAGTTCAATTCCAGACAGGGCGAAACCTTGGGCAAGTTTCCTTACTCCACACAGAGCCTAATAATAATCCCTCCAAAAAAACAATAATAAATTGGTCATTTTCAATCTACGACTGTTTGTGGGACATTGCTGTGCAATGTAATTTGTTGCAGTCCTCATCTGTATTCACTACTCCCGCCAATTTGGTGTCGTCCACAAATTTTGAATCCAAATCATTAATGTATATTGTGAACAACAGTGGTTCCAATACCGATCCTTGTGGAATACCACTGCCCACCCCCTGCCAGTCTGAGTAGCCTCCCTTTACCCCTACTCCCTGTTTTCTGTTTTGTCGCCAGCTTGCTATCCATTCTGCTATTTTTTCTCTGACTCCACATGCTCGGACATTATTCATTAGTCTGTTATGTGGTACCTTGTCGAACACCTTTTGGAAATCTAAATATATTACATCTACCGCATTACCCTTGTCGACTCTTTCTGTTACCCTTTCTGTCCTGTTACCCCTTCAAAGAATTCAATGAGGTTGGTCAAGCATGACCATGCTGAAACCGTGCTGACTATTCTTTATTACGTTTTCCGTTTCCCTTATCCCCTTTACCTGCCTCTTTTAGCCAATTTATTTGGGGGTAGTTGAAATCCCCCATGATTATTACTCTATATATTTTACTCATTTCCCTAATTTTCTTGCATATTTCTTCCTCAACCTCCCTTCCACTGTTAGGTGGTCTGTACAGTACCCCTATTTGTGTGATTGATCCCTTGTTATCTTTTATCTCTATCCACACAGATTATGTTTCTGTCTTACTGTTGGCTATGTCCCTTTTTTCTACTACCATGATGTTATCCCTAATGAGTCCACTACTCCACCGCCCTTTTTCCCATCTCTATCCTTTCTAAATACGTTATACCCTGCAATGTTTAGTTGCCAGTCGTGTTATTTTGTAGTCACATTTCAGTAATCCCAATTATATCTGATTCCTCACTACGACTTATTGCTTCCAGTTCTCCTGTTTTATTTCACATGCTGTGTACATTGCTGTACAGACAGTTTAATTCATTATTATTAATTTTTCCTCTCATTTTATTTTTGACAGTCCTTTCACACTTCTGTTCTATAATTGTATTAATGCCCTGACCATTTATATTCTCCTTACTTCTGCTTGAGTCATTTCCTTCTGATCGCTCCCCCACTTTTACTAGTTTAAAGCCTTTGCCACAGCCCTATTTACCCTTTCTGAAAGGACTTTGGTCCCCTTCTGGTTCAGGTGGAGCTTGTCCCATTTGTACAGCTCCTTCTTGGCCCAGTATTGGTGCCAGTGTCCCATGAAGTGGAACCCTTCTTTCCCACACAATGTTTTAGCCACGTGTTAACTTTCCTATACTGTTTCCCCCTATTCCAATTTGCACGTGACTCGGGTAATAATCCAGAGATTATTACCCTTGAGGTCCTGCCTTTTAATTTAGCTCCTAACTCCTGAAACTTTGCAGGATCTCCTCCCTCTGCAGGACCTTCTCCCTGTTTTTTCCTATGTCGTTTGTCCCAACATGGACGATGGCAACTGGATCTGCCAAATTCCTCTTCAGCTGCTTCGAAATGTCCCTTACCCTGGTACCAGATGTTGAGTAAATGGAAGAATTTAATTCATTCGCTCTGAACGTGCTGTTTCTATCCTAGACTCACAAGCCCAGCCAAGTGTCTGACGCTTGTAAAGGAAAACAGGATGGATTATTAGTAATTGACACAACGTGTGGCTCTCTGGGTATAATAATAATAATCCTTGCATTTGATATAGCTCTTTTCACGTCAGGATGACATCCCAAAGCGCTTCACAGAACACACTATAAAGTGAATTGACTGTATATTTGTGGGGAACGCGGCAGCCAATTGCACACAGCAATGTCCCACAAACAGTCGTGGATTGAAAATGACCAATTTATTATTGTTTTGTTTTTTTGGAGGGATTATTATTAGGCGTGTGGAGTAAGGAAACTTGCCCAAGGTTTCGCCCTGCCTGGTATCTGAGGTAACTGTGTGCTCTGTGCCTCTAGGAGCCATTGCCGGCCTGATTGATATGGTGGCTCACTGGATGACTGACCTGAAGGAGGGAGTCTGTTTAGTGGGCTTTTGGTTTAACCACGAGCATTGCTGCTGGACCTCCGATGAGATGACCTTTGAGCAGCGAGATAACTGTCCGCAGTGGAAATCCTGGTCAGAGCTGTTCATCGATCAATCTGAAGTAACTATCTCTCTATTTCCCCTCCTCTCTGTTGTCTGCCTTTAGCCTTTGGAAGAAGGCTTTGGCTCCAAAACCTTGTTCAAACAGCCCTCAACAGCTGATTACACTGTGTGCACTCTCCAAGGGGAGGGTGACTCCTATATGGAAGCACTGTCCTTGTCTATCACCAGAGACATCCTCCCTAGCCCCCGCACTTACACATTCATATGTCATAAGAGTCATTTTGTTCTAATTGTCCTTATGTTGGGGTTGCTGGCACCTTCCCTTCTCCCTGCCATTACCTGGGGCAGTGAGTTCACACAGCATTGGGGGTACAGCCAATGCTGTGGGTTTAGATGTCTGTATTTAATTGGTGACGTGCTTGGCTCCAGTGAATACTTGTTACTGGTTCATGTTCTGTTAGAGACCATGGTTTAGTTTGGGCTTTTGGCTATATGTTATATATACATATATATATAAAACCACTCTGTTGTATGGATGTATATAAATACACTAAATGCAGTGTGGGTCCCACATGTTAAACTGCCAGATCGATCAGTGCTTTGTCTATAGAGCCGGCCAGTGACCCTCCAAAGAGTCAGGTACACACAGCTCATTTAGCTACACTTGAATGCTGTCAAAATTAAACACTAGACTGTTGCCAAGTAAAGCAAAAGTGCTTTGATTTAAGCCTTACTCTGCAGAAGGAGTGTGAGAGCTCTGTTATAAGGCCCCTCGTGAGAACATGGGTTGCTTATTACACGATTGGGTTGTGGACAACATTATATTTTTTACTTGAAAATCAAAATAGCGCCTTCCATTATCCCGTCATTGCAAAATAATGTCCCTGGTCGGGTCATCCTTTGTGAAGGAAGTGACATCATCTGCTCTTATATAGCATGTAGGAAGTGACGTTAGGGGCAACCTGGGAGCCTGTCTATTGAACCCAGACAAAGACATTGTAATGGGCTTCAGTTGGCACAGCAAATGCAACAACTTAATCAACAAACACAATGTGCAAAATGCTCTATTTACATCTGTGATCTGTGTCCAAATTAATTGAGTTTCAGGTGTAATTGATCAGGGTAAAGCTGAACTGCTCACCTGTTGCCTTGACTGTGTCCTAGGGGGCTGGTGCGTACATCCTGAATTATTTCATGTACGTGGGTTGGGCGCTGACGTTCGCTTTCCTGGCTGTGTCTCTAGTGCGAGTGTTTGCACCCTACGCATGTGGCTCTGGCATTCCAGAGGTAAGTTTGATGTTGTTTTACTGACCAATTACTATAATAATAATAATCCTTGCGTTTGATTATAGCGCCTCATCACGTCTCAAAGCGCTTCACAGAATACGCTGTAAAGTGAATTGACTGTATTTTTTTGTGGACAAAATGCGGCAGCCAATTGCGCACAGCAGCGTCCCACAAACAGTCATGGATTGAGTGACCAAATTATTATTATTTTTGAAAAGATTATTACCCCCGGAAAAGCTATCCACCAAATGACTAACAACCAGGTACCTATTTACTGCTAAGCAGAGACGTGTGGAGAAAGGAATCTTGCCTAAGGTTTCGCCCTGACTGGGAATCGAACCTGGGGTCATCTAGCTTGTGAGTCAAGTGCTCTAAACACCATGCTAGCCACAGGACTCCACATCGGTTACTCTGGCTCACAGCTTCGCCATTCAGTAAAGACTTCATAATTCGGTCTAAAGGTTTCTGAGTCTTGTTGCCTCTCACACTGACTGCCTGTTCAGCTAAAGATTATCTGACACTATTCCACAAGAGAAGGGAGTTTCTCCCTGTGTCCTGGCCAATATTGGATGGCGAGTTCGTCCACACAAAAACAGCCAATCACTCCACTTTGCATTAAAATCCTGTGAAGTCCTCCTGACGTGAAACGCGCTATCCCAAATGTAGGGATGATTATTGTTTGCTCCATCTATCTTTATGGGACGTTCCAGGTGAAAATTGCCTGCAAATAAATCACTACATTTGACATTTATTGCCTGTGAAGCACTTTGCCACTTAAGGTGCTGTAAAAATGCAAGTTCATCATTTTTCTTGTAGCATATCAGCTTTGAAGTTTGTCAGTGGGTAATTCAGTTCCTCTCCCTCCCCGGTGCCCTCTGAGGGCAAGTGCTTGTGCTCCCTAAATAGCTCGACATCGCATGTAGGGTTGCGGGTTCAAGTCCTACATTGGATTTTGGAATCATAGTCTAAGCTGGCACTACAATGCAGGACTGGGGGAGTGTTGCATTGTTGCAGGTGCTGCCCTTTGGATGAGACATTAAACTGAGGTCCTCTCTGTCTGTTCAGGTGGATGTTAAAGATCCCACAGCGCTATTTGAGAAGGGAGTTTCTCTCTCCCGGTGTCCTGGCCAACAATTCCCCAAATAAAATTGGTCACTTCAATCTACGACTGTTTGTGGGACACTGCTGTGTGCAATTGGCTTCCCCATTCACCCACAAATTATATTCTATGAAGCGCTTTGAGACTCGCAACACCATGATAAGGTTTCTATGAAATGCAAAGATTATTATTAATGAAATGAGATCACGACACAAATCGAAAGGACAGTCAGCTCTCACATTCACCTACAAATATACAGTCACTACAATCTACAGTAAATACCTGTGAAGCACATTGAGGCATTCAATGTGATAAGGCGCTATATCAGATGCAATGAATTATTAAGTGGAAGTATCCTCTTAAGTGGTAGTAAGGGTTGGTGCCCCCGAGTGGCCATGTGCTGTTTTGTAAGGGACTGATTTACTCGAGCACTAAAAACATCACATTTGAATTTGTGGTTTGTTTGAAATTAACAGTCCAGGTCTGTAACATTCCTCGTTTGTCCCTGGGAGTTAGAAATTTGTTCACCTACAAACATACAGCCTCTCCACTATAGGCCCTGCATCAAAGGCAGGGGGGATTATATTCTGTAGTCACCTTTCTCAATTAAAGATTTCAGAGTAGCAAATTGATGATCTGAGCTCTGGGATGTTGATGTGTAAAGGCATGTCCTTCTTATTGTGAATGGAAAGACTTGCTGTGCTTCAGTGAGTAGATTTTATAAATAATAATAATAATCCTTGCATTTGATATATGGCCTTATCACATCTTCAAGATGCGCTTCAGAGACTTGTAAGCAAAATAGAAGCCCACAGTATTAAAGGGACAGTGATATCATGGATACAGAACTGGTTGGGAGACAGAAAGCAGAGAGTGGTGGTGAACGGTATTTCTGTCTTGTTTTTCTGGAGGGAAGTGGGCAGTGGTGCCACCCAGGGGGTCAGTATTGGGGCCACTGCAGTTTTTGATCTGTATAAATTGCCTGGACTTGGGTAAAGGGAGTACAATTTCCAAGTTTGCAGATGATAGTAAACTAGGAAAAGTAGTAAACAGTGAGGAGGACAGTAACAGACTGCAAATGGACATAGACAGACTGGTAACATGGGCCGACACGGGGCAGATGAGGTTTAATGTGGAGAAATGTAAAGTGATGCATTTTGGAAGGAAGAATGAGGAGAGACGATATACACTGATGGTACAATCTTAAAGGGGGTAAAGGGACAGAGAGACCTGGGGGTCATATAAGGAAATCTTTGAAAGTGGCAGGACAGGAAAATAAAGCTGTTAAAAAATCATATGGGATACTGGGCTTTATAAATAGGGTTTAAGAAGGTTAAGAGGAGATTTAATAGAAGTTTTCAAATTTATGAGGGGATTTTAAACTATTTCCACTGGCGGGTGGGTCAGTAACCAGTTTAAAATAGTCGTTAAAAGAAACAGAGGGGAGGTGAGGAGACATTTTTCCACACACGAGTTGTTCAGATCTGGAATGCATTGCCTGAATGGGTGTTGGAAGCCGATTCGATAACAACTTTCAAGAAAGAAGCAGATAATTATTTGGGGAGGACAAGTTTGCAGGGCTATGGGGAGAGCACGGGGGAGTGGGGTTGATTTGGAAGCTCTTTTCAAAGAACCGGCACAGACACGATGGGCCGAATGGCCTCCTTCTGTGCTGTATGATTCTATGATACACTGTAATATTTCGCCCGGGAAAAGAAAATTTGATTTAATTAGAAATCAAATCCCTCTCCCTCGCAAGGTATCTTTTGTGTCTAAGACTCTTTCAGATTAAAAGTGGTTTGATATTAAGTGGTTTCATCATCCGGGGCTGCCTGCTTATATGGACCCTCATTATTAAGGCTGTGGAGGAAGTTAGCACAGACGTTCACTTGGCGAGTTCAAATCAAAATAGAATGCGGTTGAATTCTTGAAATCCTTTAGTTTGTTTACTGTCTAGAAATAGAATAATAAAACAAGTTTCTCCACTGACTGATGCAGTTGAGGTTACAAGTTAATCTGTTGACTGATCTAGTTAAGCTCTCTGGGACGCTATCCTACGTGGAGGTTGCTATGTAAGTGCAAGTTGTTGTTGTTTGGGCGTGCGAGTGAACTGATGTGGTTGGTAACAAGATTGCTTATCTTGCTGGGTTAGCTTGTGTCTCCAGCTTGTGTCTCCAGCAAAACGGCACCGATGGTTTGTTACTGCAAATATCCATGTGTCAAGGGGGGAGATGTGGCCACACCGTTGGCTGAGGTCATCACATTATTTAAGATAATTGGCAAAAGAACCAGAGGGGAGACGAAGAGAAATGTTGTTACGGTCTGGAATGCATGGCTTGAAAAGCTGGTGGAAGGAGATTCAACAACAACTTTCAAAAGGGAATTGGATAGACACTGGAAGAGGAAAAAATTTCAAGGATATGGGGAAAGAGCTGGGGAGTGGGACAGATTGGGCAGCTCTTTCAAAGAGCCGACACAGGCACGATGGGCTGAATGGCCTCCTTCTGTGCTGTGATATTCTATGATTCTATCACATAGTGCATAATTGAGTGACGTCAGGGTCACTGTTGGATGATGTCATTTCGTGCACACAACTAAGTGACATCACGTAGTGGAGGCAGTTGAGTGACATACAGCGCATAATAATAATAATCCTTGTATTTGATATAGTGTCGCTGAGACGTCTCAAAGTGCTTCACAGGATATACTGGATTGTAAAGTGGATTGACTATTTTGTACAGCTTCACTGTTCTTTGAAATAGCGCCGGGGTGTCAGCTTTATTTATAAACCCTTTCAGCGTTTTTAAAGCAGATCGGAGGAGCACATTTCTTTTGAGCTGATTTCTTAATGTTCTGTGAGATCTGAATTATAGTAACCTTGCTCTCCCTCATGAGCTTTCTTTTGTGTCTTAAGCTTTTTTTTTGTTGGTGACTTTCAGATTAAAACCATATTAAGCGGCTTCATCATCCGGGGCTACCTGGGGAAGTGGACGCTCATTATAAAGACGGTGACCCTGGTGTTGGCCGTGTCCTCGGGGCTGAGCCTGGGAAAGGAAGGACCATTGGTACACGTGGCCTGCTGCTGTGGCAATATAGTGTGTCACCTGTTTACAAAGTACAGGAGGAATGAAGCCAAGAGGAGGGAAGTAAGTGTCAGATACATGTACAGTCATTGCACCTGTACCAATACTTTTCATTTGGTAAGTTTATCTGCCCAAAATGCAAGGGATAAAATGTGAGATTTTATAAAACTGGATTTGAGTGGATTAAACACTAGCAGATATTGTGACTGTGGTCACCGCCGACCTCTCCCTGGCTCAGTGTGCAATACCAGCGTTGTGAGGTGCTCCCAAGACCTTATCCTAACAAAGGGCACTTTGTAAACAGAAATTGTTGTGAAATGAGGGAAGGCAGGAAATTCACAATCACAAGGAACGTTAGTGAACTCCACAAACATCACCTGTCAATCACTTGTTCCTTTCCAGGCCCGATATTCCCTGTGTTTGAGGCGTGATATTCTGTATTTTTCCTGACTGTAGTTGTGAGCATGTGAGTTTTAGAACGACAATATCTTTCTCTCAGCCATCTCAGTTCCAATGTCATTTGAGTCGTGGCTCCATCGCTCTGATGTCGGTGCCTGTGTTGGGCTGAGTGGGGCTGTGTTGGTCTGTGTTGTACGTGTGGACCTACCATTTGGGTTTTCTGCCTCTCTTTGGAACTCCATCCCACAATCCCTTTGCCTCGCTCCCTCTCTTGCCTCCTTCAAGGCATGACTCAAGACCCTCCTTTTTGACTGTGCCTTCAGTCGCCCTCCTACCCCCTCTGCCCTCAGTCATCCCAACCCTGCCCCCCCCTTCCCACGCTTGGATCCCGATCCCTGACTGTCCAGCACCTTGGGACATTCTCCTGACGTGAGAGGCGCTTTACCAATGTCATTCTGTTGTTGTTGTTGTACCATCGTGACTGACTCTCTGACATTTCCTTCCCAGGTGCTCTCAGCCGCTGCAGCAGCAGGAGTCTCTGTGGCCTTCGGGGCCCCCATTGGAGGCGTTTTATTTAGTCTTGAAGAGGTGAGTGTGCAGGTAACGCCATTGGCGTGATGTTTCTCAGTGAATAGCAGCTGACAACGGTGTTAGATCATATGCTGAAGATGGTTTGTGAGGAGAGAGTATTCGTTCCGCTTCTCAGAGCTCGGGAACCATTTAAACGTCCACCCTCGTCCGGCTCCACTGGCTCCCCATTCCCCAGAGGATAGAATTCAAAATCCTGGTCCTCGCTTTCAAAGCCCTCCATGGCTTTGCTCCTCCCTACTTCTGAGATCTGCTGACCCTCCTACCAACCTATCCACTCACTCCGCTCAGCGGACTCTAGCCTGCTCCAGGTCCTCCGCCCAGCATGGCCCACCCCGCCCCACCATCGGCAGTTGGGCCTTTAGCCTCTCTGGCCCCATCCATTAGAACTGCATCCCACCCTCCCTTTGCATCGCTTCCTCCCTTATCCCTTTCACAAGTTACCCCCTGTTACAAAATAGCGATATGAGACTACGGAGGAGCTAAAACAAGCTCAGAGATGCATTTATTAAATGCAAGGATTATTATTATCATTATTATTATTATTTCCCCTCCTCACTCCATCCGTGTTACGAAAGATTTGGTACCAACTATGGCAACGGATTATTATCTGCCATGGAAATGTTGGCGCTCACTCACTCACATTCTCTCTCTCTCTCAAACACACACACACACACAGATCCTCTGTACATTTAAAAACACTAAAACACTTGTACTGAATACAATGAAGTAACTTCTCAATACAATTGTCATCATTATGCCACATGTTTCAATCATTGGTCAGTGTACTGTAGAGAAAACATATGGGGGGTAACAGGACTTTGTGAACACCCTGTTTCTCAGCTTTGTTCATTTCAACTGGGCAGGAGTGGAAGTGAATCCCTTTGGCCTCACTTTAGTGAGATAAAATAATACATAAAACCACCAGAAATTCAGAATCACTTCAGAAACAAAAGTAGGTGTTAGCTTCCAACCCCTTTTATTATCCAAGACTGTTTGTGGGACGCTGCTGTGCACAATTGGCTGCCGCGTTTCGCTCACAAATATACGGTCAATTCACTTTACAGCACATTCTGTGAAGCGCTTTGAGACGTCGAGAAGACGTGAAAAGCGCTATATCAAATGCAAGGATTATTATTATTTCTTTCTTTTCCAGGTCAGTTATTACTTCCCTCTGAAGACCTTGTGGAGGTCGTTTTTCGCTGCTCTGGTGGCTGCCTTCACTCTCCGCTCCATCAACCCGTTCGGGAACAGCCGGCTGGTGCTGTTCTACGTGGAGTTCCACAGCCCCTGGCACCTGCTGGAGTTAGTCCCCTTCATCCTGCTGGGAATCTTTGGGGGCCTGTGGGGAGCGTTCTTCATCCGGGCCAACATCGCCTGGTGCCGGAAGCGTAAGACCACGCGTCTGGGCAAGTACCCGGTGCTGGAGGTGCTGACGGTGACGGCTCTGACTGCCATCGTGGCCTTCCCCAATGACTACACCAAGATGAGCACCAGTGGCCTGATATCTGAGCTGTTTAACGACTGTGGTCTCCTGGACTCCTCGCAGCTCTGCGACTACGTCAACGACGTGAACAGCACCAAAGCAGTGGATGACTTGCCGGACCGCGCGGCGGGTAAAGGGGTCTATGCGGCAATCTGGCAGCTGGCGTTAGCTTTGGTCTTTAAAATTGTCATCACAATATTCACTTTTGGCATGAAGGTAAGAACATGTTTCAACAATCATTTGTTTATGTTAGGAATGATCGGGAGGGCTGGGGCTTGGGGGGCCTGTGGTTGGAGGGGAGGCTGGGGCAGGGGCTTGGGATGTGGGGAGCTGGAGATGGGGCGATGGGGGCTGGGCCTGGGGGAGAGGGTCACTGTTTTTGTGGTATAAGGGCTTATGTACCAAGCGTGTAGCTCAGTCTTGATGCGAATGTATAAAAGTGCGCGCTCGCTTCGCAAGCGAGAGGACCCGGATTCACTTCCTGGGCAGCACGAAACTTTAGGCAAGACTTCTCTGTTTACCCAGCAGTAAATAGGAAAAGGGTTGTTAATTGATTGGTGGATCGCTTTCTGGAGGTAAATAATCCCTGGAAAAAAAATGTGGTCCCTCAATCCACAACTGTTTGTGGGCTGCTGCGTTTTACCCACAAAATACACAGCCAATCAACTTTACAGTATATCCTGTGAAGCGCTTTAAGACGTCTCAACGGGGTGGTAAGGCGCTATATCAAATGCAAGGATTATTATTATGAACCAGATATGCAGCTCAGTATCCACGTGAGTGAATGTAAATGACTAATCTCCATTAAGTTCACTGAACTCTGTGTCTGAGTCATTTGAGAGCGATTAAGAAGCTGCATTTATATTGACTTGCTTCCCTCAAACTAGTGTTAAGGAGGCAGGATTGAGATTGAATCCAGTGTCAGTGGAGCTATATATGGATAACACTCCCAATATGTCATACAATAGTCATTTGACGTTTATTGAAAAATATATTTGTTTCCTGAAAGAGTGATAAAAGATTTCTTATTTGACAAGAAATGCATGTGCTTATGAGAGAAAGAGAATAAAATGGCTGCTAGTCAATCAATAATAAACAATAAAGGTGTATGTTGTTCCTCACCACCGTGACCCAGCCAGGAAACACACAAGGCGGTGTGTGTGTGTGGGGGGGGAGCGAGCAAGCCCAGAACAGCACACGTAGAACCCCAAAACACGAGGATTGTTCTCCTTAGAGCAGAGTCGGTTCAGGTGTTCAAAATTACAAGAGTTTTGATAGACTAGATAGGGAGAAACTGTTTCCTCTGGTGGGTGGGTTGGTAACCAGAGGACACAGATTTAAGATAATTGGCAAAAGAACCACACGAGGAGACGAGAAGTGTTTTTACGCAGGGAGTTGTTCCAGTCTGGAATGCTCGGCCTGAAAGGCTGGTGGGGGCAGATTCCATAATAACTTTCATGAGGTAATTGGATAGGTGTTTGTAGAGGAAAAATTTGCAAAGATATGAGGAAAGAGCGGGGGAGTAGGACTGATTGGGTAGCTCTTCCAAATAGCCTGCACAAGCACAATGGCCGCAAGCCGTCCTTCTGTGCTGTAATATTCTATGATTCTATGAGATTGTGTTTAAATTGGGAGCTATATAGTGAGTGGGTGTAGAGTGAGAGCTGTAGAGTGAGATGGGGAGTGAGGCTGGCAGTAATGTGCGACTGATCGCTGCTTTCTCTGTGCAGGTCCCATCGGGGCTGTTTATCCCGAGCATGGCTGTGGGAGCGATCGCTGGGAGGCTGCTGGGAATAGGGATGGAACAACTGGCTTACTATCACCATGACTGGCTCATCTTCAAAGGCTGGTGTGGTCCTGGGGCCGACTGTATCACACCTGGGCTGTACGCCATGGTGGGGGCTGCTGCCTGTCTGGGTAAGAAATCCTCACTGTCCTGTATAGACTCGAAAACCCAGAGCAAACACCCCCGCCCCCACCCCCACAGCAGTGTGCATACACACTAGCCCTGCTCACACACTAGCCCTGCTCACACACTAGCCCTGCTCACACACTAGCCCTGCTCACACACTAGCCCTGCTCACACACTAGCCCTGCTCACACACTAGCCCTGCTCACACACTAGCCCTGCTCACACACTAGCCCTGCTCACACACTAGCCCTGCTCACACACTAGCCCTGCTCACACACTAGCCCTGCTCACACACTAGCCCTGCTCACACACTAGCCCTGCTCACACACTAGCCCTGCTCACACACTAGCCCTGCTCACACACTAGCCCTGCTCACACAAGCTATTCCTCCCACAACTCCCCCCAGAGCAGTGTGAGTTTAAACTAGCCCTAATCCCACCAGCCACTCCTCTAACATACCCAAGAATCATTTCTTCTCACCGTTCAGGGCCCATTTTCCTAACCCGATATGAATCCGCTCTGTTACTTTGATGTTTAAATGCTCAATTGTATCAAGTATAACACTAGTATTCGTGGAGAAAGACGAGTCTGCAAACCGTAATGGTGAAATGGGGAAAAGGCAGTGGGATCGAGCTGTAGTTTTTGTGATCAGCCGGGTGTCTTGACACTTGTGGAATCACCATGCTTAAGAGTCTCCAAACAAAGCTGAGAATCCCATCTACACATCCACATAGATAAGGTGCTATATCAAATGCAAGGATTATTATTATTATTATACATGGAAATCCCAGAGATAGTTTATTGGAATAGAATGCGCGCTCTTTTCCTGGAGGAACGCATCCTGTTTACCTAATTCCGGAGAGTATTAGTCACAGGTTGACAAGAGCCAAGGCTTGGGGACCCCAGAGTGTGCGTGAAGCCAGTAGAGTTTAGCTCGAGCACGAGCCAGTGTGGTTATACTTATATGCAATGGGTGTTGGCAGGTGGTGTGACGAGGATGACGGTGTCGCTGGTGGTCATTATGTTTGAGCTGACGGGCGGCCTGGAGTATATCGTGCCGCTAATGGCTGCCGTCATGACCAGTAAATGGGTGTCTGACGCCATCGGGCGAGAGGGCATCTATGAGGCTCACATCCGGCTGAATGGCTACCCCTTCCTGGAGGCCAAGGAGGAGTTCACACACAGGACGTTAGCCATGGATGTGATGAGGCCACGGCGCTGTGACCCTCCGCTCACCTGCTTCACACAGGACGGGATGAAGGTGGAGGACGTGGAGACCATCATCAGTGAGACCACGTACAGCGGCTTCCCCGTGGTCGTGTCCAAGGAATCTCAGCGACTCGTAGGCTTTGTGCTCCGCAGGGACCTCATCATCTCAATCGGTGAGAACTTCACTCCTCGACACACATAAACTTTATTATAGATAAACCTTCTGTTCAAATCGGCCTCAAAGTCTCCTCCGCCGTTCATCACTTGAAAACCAATTCTGCATGAATTTCACACGACCCTTTATGAGATTAGGAATTCATTTAATTGTGGAGTCCTGTAACTTAGTGGTTAGACACTCACCTCGCTCGCAAGGTACCCGGGTTTGATTCCTGGGCAGGACAAAACCTTAGGCAAGTTTTCTTAGTCCACACGCCTCTGATTACCTAGCAGTTGGTAGGAACCCAGTTGTTGGTCGATTGGTGGATCACTTTCCAGGGGTAATAATCCCTTTTAAAAAAATTGGTCACTCAATCCACGACTGTTTGCGGGACACAGCTGTGCACAATTGGTCGCCGCGTTTTTTCCACAAAATACACATATTGAAAATATTCAACACTGTGTGTTGAAAATATGTTCTGTGAATCACTAAGACATCTCAACGACTTGATAAGGCACTATATCAAATGCAAGGATTATTGTTGTTGTTGTGTCACTGAAAGAGTTTACAAACCCTTAATAGTCTTTGTGCCCAAGGAACTCGCTCCCGGCTGACGATCTTTATCTGGGGTTTGTTTACAGAGAGCGGGAGGAAGCGACAAGACGGGATTGTGAGCACCTCATTGATTTACTTCACGGAGCACTGCCCTGTGCAGCCTCCCAACAGCCCGGCCCCACTCAAACTCCGTTCCGTCCTCGACCTGTGCCCCTTCACAGTAACCGACCACACGCCCATGGAGATCGTGGTCGACATCTTCCGCAAACTAGGCTTAAGGCAGTGTCTTGTCACTCACAATGGGTAAGTGCATGGCACGGTGTCACTTACCAAACACCTCCCCCACTCCAGTTCACACACTGTAAACAAATTTGCATTGTTGGAGGTGCCGTCCTTGAACTAAGGAGTCCTGTAGCTCAGTGATTAGTGCACTCGCCTCGCAAGTGAGAGAACTGGGTTCGATTTCCGGGCAGGGCCAAACATTGGGCAAGTTTTCTTACTCCACACGCTTCTGTTTACCTGGCAGTAAGTAGGAACCCGGTTGATAGTCGATTGGAGGATTGTTTTTCTGGGGGTAATAATCACTTCAAAAAATAAAAATGAATAATAATTTAGTCTCTCAATCCACAACTGTTTGTGGGTCACTGATGTGCGCAATTGGCTGCTGTGTTTTGTCCACAAAATACAGTCAATTCACTTTACAGTATATTCTGTGAAGCGCTTTGAGATGCCTTGAAGACGTGATTAGGTGCTACATCAAATGCAAGGATTATTCTTGTTAAAATCATAGAAATTTTACAGTTGAGAAGAAAACCATTCGGCCCATTGTATTAATCCTTTCTGTCCCATTTACCTGCCCTTTCCCCTCCCATCTGAGGTATTATTTAGGTATTTATCCAGCTCCCTTTTGAAAGCCAATATGGATTCCACCTCAACCAGACCATTCCATATCCCAACCACTGTGTGTGAAAACAATTTATCTGTGCATTTGGTATAATTGGCTAGTTTTGCTAACTATCTTAAAGTGATATCTAGTCCCTCTAGTCACTAACTGACCATGAGATGCCAGACTAACTCACTGAAATGAGAATTAAACTCAGGTCTTTTCAGGGGACATTAAAGATCCTACGGCACTATTCGGAAAAAAGTTTTTCCCCACGTCCTGACAAACAATCCCTCTGATAAAATTAGTCATTGATGTCATTGCTGTTTTGGAACCTTACTGCATACAAAATGGCTGTTGAGTTTTCCTACAACACCAGTCACTCCACTGGAAAAGTAATAAAATAATAATAATTTGGTCACTCAATCTACGACTGTGTGGGATTGTTGACCTGGACACCAGGAGAGAGAAACTCCCTTCTCTTTTCGAATAGCGCCGCGGGATCTTTAACATCCACCTGGTCAGGCAGACGGGACCTCGGTTTAACGTCTCATTCAAAGGATGGCATCAACAATGCAATGCACCCCCATCGCTAAATTGGAGCATCAGCTTAGACTGTGTGAGTTCCATGTGCCAAAGTGGGACGTGAACACACAATCTTCTGACTGAGAGGTGAGAGCGAACCGTTGCACCAGCCTGACGTGCTATTTCTCACGTGAAAGTCCCAGCTTTTATCGCAGCCGCTTATTCCCAGGACACAACATGAATTGGTTCCTCTTCTGTATTCCAGGCGTCTCCTTGGCATCGTCACCAAGAAAGACATACTGAAGCACATCGCTCAGATGGCTAATCAGGACCCAGACTCTATCATGTTTAACTAACCATAAACGCTGATCAGGCGAACACAGATGCCAAACCGGGACCTGTTTCTTCGGATTAAACACTCCAGTCGGGGAAAGGCATCACGGCATTTTACGCTCTCCCTGAAGAGGCTGATGCCAGGGCCTGGGTCAGTGTGTCCCGTTGCACTGGGCAATCCACAGCGATGGTTTGGGCAGGTCACGGGCTCGCTCTGTGCAGCTCCACGCGGTGGTTAAATGAAGGACTGGACTAAATCGTTTTGTTTTTAAAATCAATTGTTTACGAATAATTTATCAGGTACAGAGTTGGGGGGGTACAGTTTTAGGGTATAAGTGGCAAACCACAAGATCCCTGCTAAACGTTTGAAGAGCTTTGGCACGGTCTGATGTTGTACGCATGGTTTTGGCCTGTGTTTTACTTCCACCCCAACAACGATAAATGTAAGCAATGTTCCTCATGGCTGTTCTCACTGTTTCTCTGGGAGAGGAGTCCAGCGTTCCCCAGCCCCCCCCCGCCACGTCCCCCACCCTGGCCCCTCACAGAAGCTCGATCCCATCGCACTCATTTCTTTTGTGTTGTACTTGAACCGCCCAGACCCTCGCCATCGTTAAAGCAATGGGCTTGTGCATTCCAGTCACTGAGGGTCTCAGACCCCCCCGCGCCCCCTCCCTGAGTTCCCTCTGAATAGTGAATATCATTGGTGGTTCCTTGTCTCTGCTGAAACAACAACAACAAATTACATTTATACAGCGACTTTCACGTTGGGAGGATAGATTTGGACCCGAGCTGGGGGTTGGGATCAGTAGGGGTGGAGGGCAGGGAGGGCAAGGGTAAGAGGGTGACTGAAAGCGCGGTTGAAGAGGAGAGTCTAGAGGCAGGCATTGAAGGAGGCAAGGGAGGGATGAGGTGAAGGAACTGGGATGGAATTCCAAAGGTTGGGGGCAGAAAATCTGAAGGCCAATGGTAGGGTGAGCTGAGCGGGGACGTGGAGCAGGACAGAGCCCGCTGAGCAGAGGGACAACCAGGTCAATATGGATCGAAACCAAACATCTCTCCAATCAAGAGTGCAACAACCTTATTGAGTCCTCTGTTTCTCTGCTAGGGATACAGTTCAATCACAAACTGCATTTATACAGCACCTTTCACATCAGGAGAACATCTGGACACTGAAGGGATTGGAGTCAAGAGGCATAGAGGGCAGAGAGGGTGGGGGTGCGAGGGTGACCTTCGAAAAGGAAGGTCTTTATGCGGACCATGAAGGAGGCAAGGAAGAGGGCGAGCGCAGGGGCTCCAGGATGGAGTTCCAGAGGCCATATAAAAGTGGGAGCCCAACAGTGAGGATCCCCACAAGCTCTTTGATCCTCAGCCAATCTCGCCCTCACCTGATGGCCACACACATCTTCCAGCCAGGATCAGTCACTGGATGGCAATCAGCAACTTGACTGTTGTTTCCTTCCCTAATGCACAATCTGTCTTTTTATTGGTAAAGGTGTTTCCTTCCCCACGAGTCACCCCAGTCACTCTGTTACCTGCTCCGCACACTCATTAATGTTCCTACTCTTCAAGGACATATTTATTTATTAAAGAATTCATGCAACGAGCTTTAGCAGTGGTTTGTAGCAGACAATGACAAATTCCACTCTCCCAGCCTCTGTGTAAACAAGCATTTTCTTACTCCCCCCCTCCGTATGTCCAAACATTACACAAAATAAATGGAGTAACATTGCTTGTTTGACATAGAAATGAATGGTTGTGAGCCAGCCCATCTCTCTGAGGCATCTGATTGCCGTGAGGTGAAGTGTGTTCTCCACTAAAGCCAAAATGAGACCAAGTCAATTGCATGATTGAATCCCCCCCGGAGTGTATTCCTTATGAGGGTAGTTCTCAACCCACCCACACACGTTTTCAGCAGCTTGTCTCGCACGGAGGGCAACTGGGAACAGCAAGAAGCAGGTGGTTGTAAGTACATGGCAAAACTGGCTGAAATGTGATGGACATTTTGTCTACCTCAGGAGCTGGACTGTCGCCTTGTTTTACTGTCATTGAACATGAAACTGAAACCGTGTCAAACAGGATGAAATAGGACAACCAGTCTTACCTTCTCATCTTTTTTGTTGTTTTAACACAAGACATTGTATTTACAACCACACAAATCCATAGCTGATCTAAAATGTTGAATCCAGCATTCAGCTGATTCATTGCTATGTTCACTGTTGGTTTCAGGTGTCAACTTATTACAATTTTATTAAAATTTTATTATAAGATTTCATAGAATCATACAGCACAGAAGGAGGCCATTCAGCCCATTATGTCTGTGCCGGCTCTTTGAAAAGAGCTTCCAAATCAATCCCACTCCCCCACTCTCTCTTCCCATAGCCCTGTAAACTTGTCCTCCCCAATTAATTATCTACTTCTCTCTTATAAGTTGTTATCGAATCAAATTTGAATTGCAAATTGTGTAAGTGGGCAAATCGTTTCCTCAGTTTTTTTAAAAAAAATCAATCTGTTATTGACCTAATTTATATTTTAGAGATGTTTTGATTTGATAGTGATTGAATAATCTCATCACATTCCTGTTTTAAATGATCTTCTGCGAAGCAGGTATGACTTTTGCTTGGTCAGCGAAGAACAACAAATGAGATTGAAGATATGCAGAAGTGCGAGATTGCTATTGCTGCTGGTACCAGGAAAGCATGTGACATTTAGCAGTGGTTTAATCACCAGTAATTTGCCAGTCTCAACCATTTTAATCCCAGGTTTGTAACTCCACAGTTAATCCTGTAACAATGTCTAGGAAATCCTCACTCTTTGAAACAATCACAACAAAATCCTCTCCCTTCTCTTGGGTTGTGTAGTGTGTACAATTGTCCGTATGACGTGTTTTTGCCAACATGAGAACTTTGAGAGCCAATATGGTACGTGGAGTCCTATAGCGTAGTGGTTAGAGTCTTGCAAGCGACAGGACCTGGGTTTGATTCCCGGGCAGGGCGAAACCTTAGGCAAGTTTCGTTACTCCACACACCTCTGTTTACCTAGCAGTAAGTAGGAACCCGGTTGTTAGTCTTTCCAGGGGAAACGGATCGTTTTTCCAGGTAGTAATAATTCCCCCCCCAAAAAAATAATAATAATTTGGTCACTCAATCCCCAACTGTTTGTGGGACGCTGCTGTGTGCAATTGGCTGCCGCATTTTGCCCACAAAATATACAGTCAACTCACTTTACAATATGTTCTGTGAAGAACTTTGAGACGTCCTGAAGATGTGATGAGGCACTATAGCAAATGCAAGGATTATTATTATTATTTGCCTATTGGCAAGATAATGTGCAATGGGACTCCATGAAGAGCTGGCACTTCAGAGCATGTTGACCAATTTGTTATAAAGGTCTTTCTCATCAATTTTATTTGATAATCTCCTGCCATCCTCTAATGTCCTTGTGTATCAAATTAAATTCGATTGTCTTTTCCTTCCTGTGTGTGGCTCTGGGTTTGAGCTGGTTGCGTCCGTTGCTAGTACTTCCTCTTGATATAAGTTACACTTCACAGGATCATTATTTCAGTGATTTTTTTCTTTATTTACACACTTGTAGGTTTCAGAAATCCGATCCCGGCCAATCTGTTCCCCGATCCCAAACATCATACAAGTTCAGGAGGAATTGGTCCAGCTTTTAAAAAGGGAACAGGGTTTGGGCAAAGAGCACATAAAAGGGTCAGAGCTTCGGAGTGGGACTGAATGGAAAGTTGTCAGAAAGCCCACACAGGCACTCGGGCTAAGTGGGCTCTTCCTTTGCTGTAACATTCTACACTTCTACTGCCCCTGTGACTGTCTTCGCTCAATTCATAACTCAGCCTTGCACAGGCAGGATGCATTTGGAAGTTCTAAGTTATTTCACATCCCTGCCATAGTCGACAGGGTCATATAAGCTTTTACCCTCTAGTTCGGGGGGGTCCAACCTTTTGGCTGCTGAGGGTCGGATGCCCAATTTGAGAAACCTCCTCTCCTATCCCTGCACCCACTCATATCTTCAATCACAAAGTTTTGCCTGAGACCTTCCTGTTTAAAATCGCAGTAAGAAGGGATGGAAACATTTATACACAAAGGAAAATAAGCGTGAGCTTCATGTTACATGGCGGGAAAAACCTTGTAGCAAACAGCGAAGTTGTAACCTGGTGCACACTGAACCTGCACAGCGTACTGTGCAATATTATATGCAAGTGATATGTTTATCTGTGAAACACAGGTTTATGGAAAGCATCAACAATAGCGAGAATGGAATGTGATACAAGCTGCAGCGCTGCTGCTTCCTGAGGTTAATGGTGTTGCTGGGAGGTTAATGGGAGCAAATACTGAGATGCTTTCACAGGAAGGAAGGAGCAGACACTAGATTTAGTACATCTGTGAAGCAGCCACTTGCTTTACCTGTGCAAAGCCACTCGCTGTGTATCATCAGGTCTCACCTCATCCACTCTGATTTACATCCTCTGGGCTGTGCATAGAGTGTGTGTCCCAACTCAGGGGGACCTGTCACCGTGCGCACAGGCACCCTGAGCTGTGCAGGTGAGTGATACAACTTGGGACTTACTCAAGCAGGTGTAGCTTCGGGTCTCTCTAAGCCAGCGGTGGCCAAGCTGTGGCCCGCGGGCCGGAAGTGGCCCCCTGAACGTTCTCACGAGTCTAGGTAAGCCCGTGTTCCATCGGCAGTATGCTTTCACTTTTTTCTTCATTGAAAGTTTCTTGGTTTAAGACATAAATCAAGAAATATTCAATCGTAGAATCTTACAGCACAGAAGGAGGCCATTCAGCACATCGTGTCTGTGCCGGCTCTTTGATAGAGATACCAACTAGTCCCACTCCCCCGCTCTTACCCCATAGCCCTGCAAATGTTTCCTTTTCAAGTACCTATCTAATTCCATTTTGAAACCTATTATAGACTCTGTTCCCATCAGCCTTTCAGGGCATTGCAGACCGCAACTCTGGGTAAAAAAAAATTCTCCTTGTCTGTCCTCTGGTTCTTTTGCCAATTATCTTAAATCTGTGTCCTCTGGTAACTGACCCACCTGCCAGAGGAAACAGTTCCTCTCTTACCTACTCTATCAAAAGTAATTTAGTACTTGTAAATACAATTTACCATCATTCCTGCACATGCTTCAGGTGTTAGTCAGTGCACTGTGGAGAGAGAGGAGAAAAACAACATGTGAGGGAAACAGGACTTTTTGTGGACATCCTGTACAATGTCTTGTGCAAGTCCAGCGCCCTGGGACGTCTTTCCGACGTGAAGGGCGTTATACAAGTATAATTTGTTGTTATTGTTCCGTGATTGTTGCAGACCAGTCACTGGCAGGAAAAGAACTGCTCTCGATCTCACAAGTCCAGCCTGAAAGATCCAAAATAGCTGGAATCCCCGTTTGTGTCAATTACGTCTGGGTCCGACACAGTCACGAATATCTCATCTCCGGCCTTGAGTTCAAACAGCCCGCCCTGGTACAGGGAGTTTAAGCCGTATTCAGCCTCCGCTGCCCAGCACTTGGTCCCCACGGCTTTCATCAGCAGGGTTGGCGAGGCGTAGGACGTCTTCTTGTGGACACACTGAACAAGCTGACGCTCGGAGCCGGGGCCCTCGTCACTGTGCTGCTGCTGCTGGTATCTGAAGTAGGTCTGGGAGTAGATGTAGTAACGGCCAGGCTGGCTCGCCTGCAGCTTCCCGTGACGCATTGTCATGTTGTGGATGTGGGAGAATCCGCTCCCCACGTCCCAGTGCAGGAGGTGCCGGCACGACTGATGGAAACGGAAAAGGGCGGGATCTGTTCAGGAAAAACAAAAGATGCTCGCAGTGAAAACTAGATACAGTAATAAAAGTTCAGAGGCCGGGTGTCTGACACGTCTGGAAACCTCGCTTAAGCGCTTTCAAGACATGGGTTTGATTCCCAGGCAGGACGAAACCTTAGGTAAGTTTCCTTTCTCTACATGCCTCAGTTTAACTATCTGTAAGTAGGAACCCGGTTGTTAGTCGATTGGCGGATCGCTTTTCTGGGGGTAATCATCCCTTCAAAATAAACAATAATAATAAATTGGTCACTCAATCCACGACTGTTTGTGGGACGCGGCTGTGTGCAATTGGCTGCTGGGTTTCGTCCAGAGAATATAGTCAATTCACTTTACGGTATATTCTGTGAAGTGGGTTTCCAGTGAGGACCACCCTACCCGTGATGGCTTAGGCTACAGGGTTAACAGGAGCTGAGGAGGAGGATTCCCTGCCCCCAGTGACTGGTCTGCCCTTCCAGATTCTGCCGATGTGCCAGGCTGGGCTGAGCTGTCATCAGCATCCTGGAATACTGCGGATCCACCTGGTAACTCTTCCGCACCAGACTCCGTGACCCTATCACCCCCACCCTCGCCTGGCTCCACTGGCTCCACAGCCTCCAGAGGATAGAGTTCAAAATCCTCACCTTCAAAGTCCACCGGGGCCTTGCTCCTGCCTACCTCTGTGACCTGCTAACCCCATATCGACTTGTTTGCTCCCTCCGCTCAGCATAAAAAATGGAGGCGAGGGGAGTGGGAGCGGCGTTTTAAGTTAGGAGGTGATTAATACAAGCAGCGCAAAGAGATCATAAGTGGTTTTGATAGGAAACTGAATGGGACTTGGCTGATTGAACGACTGAGGAGCTTATACGATTTATAAAGATAAGACTCATGCGAGTTTTACTGTATCACTTTAAGCCAAAGGCATGAAGAAAGCTTCAGGTAAAGGGAAAGGTGCACTCACCGTGGGGAGCAGGCGATCGAATGATCAGGTGAGCAGAGGGACTCTGCGTCATGTACACCTGGCCTCTGGGTTTCAGGACGTCGGGGGGTAAGTTGTTTATTATATCTGGAAAGGAAAGGAGCTGGTAAACACTCTGATGGTTCAATTGAAGGTCTTTAAATGTGCTGGGATGGAAAGCTACTCACCTTTCACCAGGCGCTGCTTGATGACATCTTTCACCACCTGGCAAAATAAATTATATTGGCGTTTCATAAATTCACACATTTTATAATTGATTGAAGGATTGGCTCCCCAAGACTCCTTCCCCCTCCCACAGGGCAGTGTAACAGGACGTAACCTGGCAGTGTAATAGGGAGTGTAATAGGGAGTATAAATGGGCAGAGGAACATGTGTGGTGTGAAACATAGCAAAGGGAATGACTGCAAAAAGCACTTCCTTGTGTAAGGTTGGACCTTTTCTTTATAAACTGTTGTTAAAGACTTTTATGTTGAATGTTTCCCCTATTTTATCATGAGTAAGAAAATCCGCTTCGCCCATGACATATTCAGGAAATGATTATTCATGATATTATCATTATTAATATTAACAACAACAACAACAAGATTCCATTTATAAAGCGCCTTTCACGTCAGGAGGACGTATCTATTAATTACCTATTAATAATAGATAATGCTTTTTTTAAAAAAGAGGCTTAAAGCTGAATCGAAAGTAAGTAGTGAGACTCCTCAGAGGGTAGTCAAAATTCCAGTAAATCTGACACCCATCATTGTACTGTAACGTCACAATACAGAGAGAGAGCAGTGATCTCCACAGAGAAATGAAAGTGAGGGAATTGGCGTCTATTATAGTTTATGACAAGTATAAATTACACAAAGAAACAATGAGGAAATCCAACAGCAGCAACAGCCACTTGCATTCATGTAGCGCCCTTCACACGGGGAAGCCCGGGATGGGAGTGACCTGCACTATCAGGTACCTTGTCAGCCAATGATCTAATGCTGCGGGCCACTGTCCCACACACCTCTCCGTCCTTCTCACCGCTCACACCTTCTGTTTCGTTCTCTTTCCCCGGTTGAACTCTGCCGTGGCCACTCAGACACAGCCACTCCTGCGAGGCTTTCTGCTGTTGCTTAACCTGAGTAACAACAATAATAATTATTTATTATTATTAAAATTGTACATTCTTATCACATTGTTGATACGTCTCGAAGCGCTTCACACAATGCACTGCAATTGACTGTGTATTTTGTAGGTGAAACATGACAGCCAATTGCACACAAGTGCCCCACAAAACCGACGTGGAATAAGGATCCAAATTTTTTTGTGAGGTGGGATTATTACTCCCGGAAAGCAATCCACCAATCAACTAGCGGGTTCCTGCTTACTGCTGAGTAAACTGAGGTGTGTGTTTGGAGTAAGGAAAACTTGCCTGACGTTTCGCCCTGTCCGGGAATCGAACCCAGGTCCTCTCGCTTGCGAGACCGAACCACTACGCTATAGGATTCCACATTAGGAGAGCGCGGGAATGCTCAACAGCAGTTTGTTTGGAAATGGAGCCTCCCAGCCTGAAGGCAAGACCCTTTCTCACTACAACACATAACAGTATAACAGGATCAATGCAGGATTGAGATTATTATAGTATAACACCCGCCTATAAGATTTGAGAATTTCCATTATTTATTACATCATTTTTTTCTTTCAACAAGATGAAGATTTCTTCTCATGCAGAATCTCATTCATTTATATTAGCCCTTAAAGAAGCCTCCTCCGCTGCCTGCACTCTGACCCAGTGGGTGAGCATCGGTGCTGAGCCACACACACCAGGTGATGAGTTACTAATAATACTTGCGTTTTCATATAGTGTCTTACCACATCGTCTCATAGCACTTCACAATATACTGTAAAGTGAATTGATTGTATATTTTGTGGGAACGTTATCACTTTCTGGAAACGAAAGCTCTTACTATTTCCTGGAATTCCAAAGCCCTGGAATAGTGACCGCACCCACTCTGGTGTCTGAGTGTGGCTTCACCGTCCCCGTTTGTGTGAAGTTTTATTCTTCTGAGACTGCAGTGGGTCACAAAATCAGGAGCAGTTTGTTTGGAAAAAGATGACTGTAATAATAATAATAATCCTTGCATTTGATATAGCGCCTGATCACGTTTTCAAGACGTCTCAAAGCGCTTCACAGAATACACTGTAAATTGAATTGACTGTATATTTTGTGGGCGAAATGCAGCAGCACAGCAGCGTCCACAAACAGTCACTCATGGATTGAGTGACCACATTGTTAATTGATTTTTGAAGGGATTATTACCCCTGGAAATTATTACCCTTCTGCCTATTTGTTCTCTTTATTCCATATTACAAACTTTTCCGTTACCGCACAAACTTGTTTCTTACACAATTCCAACACACTGGCTTCACCCCCACCCCCTTCCTGGTAATCCTTAATCCTGGTAATGTACTCTCTCAATCTGTTTTAGCTTCCTTCAATCTTTTATAGCTGTATCCGCTATAACCCTCTGTGATGCCGCTTTTCAAGGCTGAAAACAGAAGATTCTCATCCTCGCTTCCAAATGTTTCCACAGCCTCGCTCCCCCCTCGCCCCGTGACCCCCCACCCTATGCTCCCTGCGCTCAGCAGACAAAGCTCTGCACTGTATCTGCAGACCTGCCAGTCCTGTCCTGTCCTGACCTGTGCTGTGTTGTGTTGTTTTGTGCTCACACACGATGCTCCGGGTCTATTCTCAGCAGAGCTGGGGAACACCTCATGTTTGTTTGCACACAGAAGTGGTGAAGCTCCCGAGTCCGCAGATATAGACGCAGCCAAAGCAAAGTAAAGAGACAGGATTTTTGCGCAGCGCGTTTGACAACCCTCCACATTCGACCCCATTTGTTTACAAATGCTCCAGACTTGGCTCCAGGCTGCCCGTCCCCTCCTCTATCCTGGCAACCTGCCACAGATATGAGTTACTTTAACTCTCACCAGCTTCTTATTGCAAAAATACATTCAAGGAGGTAAATCATGTCAAAAAAAACACCACAGTACACGCAATACACCCCTCACCACATCAGAAACCATCCTTTCTCAAATAAAACATTGTTACCCCTCCCCCTCACACACACAATACACACAGCGTTTAATGCCCTCTTTAAATGAATAAACTTATGCTCATAATGTGTTGAATGCCACTCCAGATCAGTGATAATACAACAACAACAACAACAAGATTCCATTTATAAAGCGCCTTTCACGTCAGGGAGGACGTCCCTTGTAATAATCCTTGTATTTGGCGTATGGAGTAAGGAAATTTCCCTAAGGTTTTGCCCTGTCCGGGAATCAAACCTGGATCCTCTCTCTCCCTTGTGAGGTGAGCGCACTAACCACTACTCTATGGGACTCCATAGTAGTGCGGGAGCCTGTGTTGCCATCTGTTAAACCTCCTCAGGTGCATGGTAAGGATCTGTGATTAGAGACAATGTTCTGGCCAACAATCCTTCAGATAAGGTCATTCACCTGACAACTGTTTGAGGGAGACATTGCTGGGTGTCACGTTCACCTACAAACACTCCACAGCAATCCCCTCTGAATTGTTTGTGAGACAATTAACATTAACAGGTGCTGCATCGAAATGCAAGGATTATTTATCTTAGATTTGTAAAACTAATTGGGGTAAAATTATAGTTTTTGATCTCGGTTTTTAACGCCTCACTCTGTCTGCCTGTTCCAGTCGACGCTAAAAATCCTTCGGCACTATCAGAAAAGAGAAGGGAGTTTCTCTCCCCGACCAACAACCCCTCAGATAAAATTGGTCACTCACCCCACGGCTGTTTGTGAGACAATGCTGTGCGCAAACTGGCTGCTGCGTTTCACCCATAAAAACACACAGTCACTACACTTTACAGTATATCCCATGAAGCGCTTTGAGTCTTCTTGACGACCTGATAAGGCACTATATCAAATGCAAGGATTATTATTAATAATCATTTACTATTCATTTATTTATTTAATTTATTAAATTATTATTATTAATTAATATGTGTTATTATTAATAAAACACCCAGAGCAGAGGGATTGCTGCCAGATCAAAAGATATATTTTTTAAAAATATTAATGATTTGGTCGCTCAACCCACGGCTGTTTGCTGGACACAATTGGCTGCTGTGTCTCACCCACAAAATACAGTCACTACGCTTCACAGAGTATTCAGTGAAGCGCTTTGAGCAGCGTCTCGAAGACATGATAAGGTGCAATATCAAATGCAAGGATTATTATTATTAATTCATCTTATTATCAGCTGTGAATATGGAGTTTCTGTTTGGGAAATGGATTGAGTTAACTTTCAGTTTCGACTCAAATCACTGACAACAATAAGAGGTGATTTGATTCACATCCACAGCAGAGCCCCAGAGCAGCACTCAACATCTTCCCGTTTGTATTTAATTACAGAGGGAATCGCCTGTTGGTCGGTTTACTAACAGAGAGGTTTGTTCTCGGAGTCTCAACAAACCATTCAGTCGCCGCCGCATAAATACCGAGAGTCTGGTTTACTGGGATTTCAAATCACTCCTCACTCACTGACTGACTGAGAACCGCGATCGATCCGCATCGATCACTGTGATCAGCTGCACTGTCTCTACCAACGCGATGCCTTTGCAAACCCCCCCACCCACAGTGAGCACTCACCTACCCTGGAGATCTCTGCTGTGAAGTGGACACAGATCCCCGCAGTCACTGCCAACTGCACAAGCAGCAGAGAGAGGAGAGCCAGGACCACCCACACTGCGGCCCCGGGCCGGCGGGGGGCGCGGGGGGGACCCTCACACACCATGGGAGCAGAGGATTGGGAGCTGCCTGACCTGCTGTGTTGCCCAGACATCGCATGTCAGCGCCGCCGCCTCCGCCCTCAAGGAAATAAGTCCACAAAAATGAAAGTGTGGGTGTGTCCAGTGAGCAGTGATCAGGACTGGCTCACAGCCGGGACCTGGAGGAGGGGGGGGGGGCAGGGAATCCTCCCACTGGGCTCCTGTTAACCCCGCAGCCAAAGCCCCCCACAGAGAGGGTGGTCCTAGCTGGACAAGCAGCGGGAAAGCTGGCCGGGCACCGGCATCAATGGCGAGCTGTGTGGCTTTTGCATTTACGCGGTGTTGTACTCCAGCAGTTACCCCAATCCACACTCTGGGGTCCCCGAGCCTGGCCTCAGGCCGACCTGCGCCCAATACTCTCTGGAATTGGGTAAACAGGACCCTCCAGGGAGAGAGAGAGAGAGAGAGAGAGAACGCAATCCATTCAAAAAAATCTATCTCTGGGATTTCCACGTGCAGGTGGGAGGCCTGGATTTCTCGGTTTGGAGACGCTTAAGCAGGTGATGGGTTTCCGCGTTTGTCAGACACTCGGCTGAGAAATAAAAGTGTTCACTGGCCTTCCCAATTTCACACGGATGTCCCCTCAGGGAAGATTATTAGAGACATTCCACCTGGGTTTACATTTACTCTTGGCATCAAAACAGCTTCAAAATGGTATTAATAGTAATAATAATGCTTGCATTCAATACAAAGACCTACCATATCATCAAGACCTCTCAAAGTGTTCCCCAGGATTTACTGTGAAGCGTAGTGACTGGTATTTGCAGGCGAACATGACAGCCAATTTGCGCACAGCGATAGCCCACAAAAAGTCGATTATACTGTGCACGCCCATCCCCTCAGCCCTCGCCAGTCTCTACTGACTCCTGGCTCCCAATCGATTTCAACATCCTCACCCTGACCTACATATCCAATCACTCCTGGCAACCTCCTTATCTCTCCAGCCTCCTCCTTCTGCCCCCTCCACACAGCTAACCCAAGCTTCCTGCTCCCTCCACCACGCTACTATCAGTGGCCGAGCCTTCAGTCACTACACCTCTAACCTCAGGAGCTCCCCCCATCTCTAACCTCAGGAACACCCCCCCGCCCCAATTCACCCCTGACCTCCTCTCCAAGCACACATTGTACACTCTTATACCCGCCAGGTGCATGAGTGAGTGACTCCTGCCCTCCACGCTTCCTGCATTCCTTGCCCTCCATCCCTCCTGATCCCAACCCACAGCCCCAAATCCCTGATTGTCCAGCGACTTGAGATGTCCTCCTGACATGAAAGGCGCTGTGTAAATGTTATTTGTTGTTGGTGTTGTTGAGTGACTCCAGGTCCAGCTAAATGACATATACAGTGTAATCCTCTTTAGCCGGACACCAGTTAACCCCGTAAATCGAATAAAAAGCCCAGCCCCGAATCATTTGTATTTGACCTGTTTAAATATGTCGGTTGATTTGGACACATCCGGTTAATCTAGTGACAATGTTGAGCTGGTCACCACTGAATGTACTCACTCGGGCCTCCTGTGTGCCGAGGGCCTCCATTCAGGCACAAGTGGCTGCAAGATGGAGATGGGAGGAGTCTAACTGTGATTGATTGACAATGGACTCCAGCCATTCAGAAGCTGATTTGGACTGTCAATCAGTGAGGGCTGAGGAACAGGGAGGAAACATGGGATGGAATAGGAAGAGTCAAATCGTGATAGATTAACAGCTGGAGTCACTTATCAATGGCTGGAGACCATCCCTTCACAAGGGGCTACAAGGCTGTCAATCTCCTGGGAGCCACCACTAATTGGTTCCCTTCCCGTCCAATGGGAACGGCAATGGGAGGAAGGTGGCACCGATGCTGCTCTGTTGGGTGGAAGAGACAATAATAATTCAGTTAATCTTGGACGCCGCTTAAGCCGGACAGAACTTCTGGCCCCAGTGTGTCCGGCTTCCACTGTCCTTCATTCTTCGTGAGCACGCTCCTCGCAAACAAGAGGAACCTGGGTTTGATTCTTGAGCAGTGTGAAATTTTGGGCAAGTTTCCTTACTCCACACGCCTCTGTTTACCTAGCCGTAAGCAGGAACCTGGTTGTTAGTTGATTGGCAGATCGCTTTTCCATGGCTAAGAATCCTTAACAAAAATAATAATAATTTGGTCTCTCAATCCATGACTGTTTGTGGGACGCTGGTGTGGGCAATTGGCTGCCGAGTTTCATCCACAAAATATCCAGTCAATTCAGTTGACAGTATATCCTGTGAAGCGCTTTGAGACATCTCGAAGACGTGATAAGACGCTACATCAAATGCAAGGATTATTATTATTGTTATTCCTCCCTCCACCCTTTCATATATTGTATCTCACGAAACCCACAATGAACTCTGCCTCTATCTTCTGACTTGACAGTGTTCCACGTCCCAACAAGTCTCTGCGTGAAAATCTGTTTGTGTGTGAATTGGAAGATGAGGCAAAAAGTTATTCATCAGGTAACTGCTACCAGGACAGGTCTCGAGCTGTGCACTGGGAGAGCTGCTGCCATCAGTTACAGACGGGATTTCCTGTTTGGTTTTGCTGCAGGCTTCAGTAGGCAACAGGAAGTCATTGCCAGCACGTGTCTAAATTGGTTTGACTTTATCAGATCTCAGTTCCTGGCCTCCTCAAGCTCGGGACACAAGATGTACTGTATAGTGGATTAACTATATTTTGTAGGCGAAAGGTGGCAGAGCAATTGACTGTGACCTTTCACCCACAAATTACACAGTCACTCCACTATACAGTATATCTTGTGAAGCACTTTGAGACGTCTCAACATTGTGATAAGGCGCTATATCATGGCATGTTTAAACTGGAAAAGAGAAGATTGAGAGGTGACATGATTGCTGTCTTTAACATTCTAAAGGGACGAGACAATGTAGGTGATGACAAAACACAAAATACTGCAGATGCTGGAAGTCTGAAAACTAAAACGGGAATTGCTGGGAACACTCAGCAGGTCAGGCAGCATCTACAGAGAGAGGAAAGTGAGTCAACGTTTCAGGTCCAAGACCCTTTGTCAGAACATAGTTTGGGGTGAGAACAGAGGGTGGGGGGTGAGCACAGTGGGGAGGTGAGCACAGAGGGGGAGCACATTGGGAGATGCAAACGACCACCAGGAAGGTGGAAGGCAAACTAGATGGACCTTGGTCTTTTTTTCGTCTCGCATTTCTTATGAGTTCTGACGAAGGGTCGTGGACCCAAAACATTGACTCACTTTCCTTTCTCCATAGATGCCGCCTGACCTGCTGAGTGTTCCCAGCAATTTCTGGTTTTGTTTTTAGATCATGACAGGCTGTTTCAACTAGTCCAGAATAGTAAAACCAGAGAACACGGCCTGCGATTGTAGGGGGGAAATTCAGAACAAATCTACGGAAACGCTATTTCATTGAACGACTAGTGAACTTAGGGAGACGGTTGAAGCAGGAAGTGTTGATTCCTTCAAACACAGATTAGACAGTTTTCTTTTAGGAAATAACATTATGGGTTATAGTACATAGGTAGTACTATACCTACGTGAGAACACTGGATGAGCACAGGGTGGGGTGAGTGCAGTAAGGGGGTGAGCACAGAAGGGGAGCACATTGAGAGATGTACATGCGACCACCAGGAAGGTGGAATGCAAACTAGATGGATCTTAGTCTTTTTTTCGTCTCACATTTCTTATGTTCTTATGAAATGCAAGGATTATTATTAATACTGTCCAGAATTAGGCAAGCAGTGTGTGTCCCTCCAGGGAGACAAGTTCTACATTCCCACGTCCAGGGACAAAAAATACCAGGAGCTAAAGCAGCAAATTTACATTTTTATTAACAATTGCAGAGCAGAGACTCAACACGGTAAAAAAATTCAAAAGTAAAAAATACAGTATCCGTCTACAGCAGTGGTCCATGATTACACGCACACTGCGTGTAGAATTCACAATAACATCAAACCAATAACACTGGAGGCAAATCCACAAACAGTGGGAAAGATAGCTGGATCAATGCCATCCTGTACAACTTCCCCCAATCAAACCCCATTCCACTCTCGGCTGAAGAACGCCACACGTGAATGTTAAATGTTACACAATGCTGCTTGGCTAGTAATGTGCACTGGAAAGAACCATTATGCCCAGAGTGAGAGGAACATCAGTCATTCCACATCCTGTCCTGTTCCCAACCCACTGAGGAAGGCTCATCTTCAGCGGAGCCTTTCAATAAATATGCGACCAGTGATGTGGCCAGTGTGGTGGGCAGAGGACCTGTGGCCTTGGAGACCACTAGAATGTGCTGGCCTGGGTCCCGCTGTTTGGAATCGAGTCTGAATCCTTAGCACCAGCCATCGATCACCCCTTCCCCACCCCCAGCCTCAATACTTCAGCCCAGTGTGAGTACATACAGAAACAGCTTTGATGAGCATTTGAAAGTAGCGCAATAATTGATTCCAATCCCCAGCAAACCCTGAACTGTCCAATGTCTTAGGATGTCCTTCTGACGTGAAAGGCGCTGTGTAAATGTAATCTGTTATTATTTGTTGTTGTTGATGTTGTAATTGGAATGATTTTAGCATTCAATATGGTTTTACTAGCAGGTTTTCCCAATGTATGAGGATCATAGAATGTTATAGCTCACAAACAGCCTGTTCATGATTGTTCTCAGCAACCTTTGGTCATTGTTACTCACTTTCCTCTCTCCATAGATTCCTTTCCTTTCTCCACAACCACCTCCACTTCATTGCAACAAATGGTTTCTCCTCCCACCGCCGCTCGGTCACCTGTGGGGTACCCCAGGGCTCCATTCTTGGCCCTCTAGTTTTCCTTATCTATATGCTCCCTCTGGGCGATGTCATCCGCAGACACAGGGTAAACTTTCACATGTTTGCGGATGACACACAAATCTACTTTGCCTCCTCCAGTACCAACTCCAGGTCCCCCGATGTTCTATCAGCTTGTCTGGCAGACGTTAGATGAGTGCAAACTTCCTGCAGCTGAATATGGATAAGACAGAAGCCATACTCCTTGGCTTCCGTCAATGTCTTCACTCCTGCGGATCTAAACTCCTCAACATCCCTGGGCTCTCCCTCAGACTCACTGGACCAGTGCACAACCTAGACATCCAGTTTGTCCCCAGCTGTCCTTCCTGCCCCACATCCGGTCACTGACCAGGACCGCCTTCTTCCACCTCCACCTCGTTGTCCGCTTCCCACCATATCTTACCCCAAATGCAGCCACATTTCTCATGCATATGTTTATCATCTCCCACTTGGATTACTCCAATGCACTCCTCACCAGTCTCTCCATTCAAAAGATCAGCTCATTCAGAACTCTGCCGCCCACAAACTCCAAACCCTTATCTCCCCAGTTCTGGCCCAGGCTCCACTGGCTTAACATCACCGAACGGATCGACTTCAAGATCCTCACTCTCGTGTTCAAATCCATTCACTCTCTGTCACCTCCCGATCTCCCCGATCTCCTCACTCCCCAAACCACCACTCGGTGCCTCCGTTCGACTGGCACCGGCTCCTGCTCATCCCTCGCACCGTGTGCCCCACCATTGGAGGTCGCGCTTTCAACCACTACATTCAAAAACTCTGGAACACTCTCCCTCAATCCCTCCGCCTTGCCCCCTCTCTCCACTTTTTCAAGTCCCACCTGAAAACCTTCCTCGTCGGCCGTGTTTACAGTCACCTCCACTCTGTGGCTCGGAGTCAAGCTCTGACACTGTTAAGCGCTCTGAGACACTATTCTGCAAGAAGGGTACTATATAAGTGCGAGTTGTTGTTCTTGTTTCCTTTCTCCATAGAGGCTGCCTGACCTGCTGACTGCATCTTAATGCCAGTTTGTGGCAGAGAATTCCACATTCCTCACACCCTCTTAAATATTTGGCCTCTCGTTACTGTCTCGCGATCAGTGAAAAAAATCAAATAATTATTTCCCTCCTAGAATTTTGAAGGTCTCTGAAGCTCCGACCTCCATTGAAAAAAGCACCAACTTCTAGCTACAGATATGAACGTTGCATTTACAGTAAGAAGGTGAGTTGAGCAAAAAGACGTTTGCCACGGCAACACGGGCGGCTGCTCAGCTTGCTTTTCCTGCACTGTAACACTCAATGTTAAAGGGAACGGGGAATGAGCAGAGGAGACTGGGGATGGACTGGATGCCGTGTGTGGAGAAGATTATGTGCTGTAACATTCTATGATGAGCTCCAGTGACATCAGCTGGGAACCCTGGCGTCAGCAAACTGACCATTTCTCTCCCGCTGCCAAGCTTCCTGCTAAACATTGTACCCACCATGAGTCTCTGGGATGCTACACAAATGTAAGTTTGTTGTTGTTGTATATAAATGCAAGTTGTTGCTGTTGGCAGCGCAGTCTTTAGTCTTACTGCTTCTGTAACGGTTTAAAAGTGGGGGACACTGGAAGTAGTTCTTTATCCATAGGGTAATGTGCAGCTGGAACAGGTTAGCAGGCAGACTGGGGGGGGGCAGGGAGCTGGGATCATTCCAATTGGGAAGATGGAAGGACAAGATGGTAAGACAAGTTCAAGCCTTTATCTTGCTTGGGTGTGACTGTACTGAGCAGCGAGCACAGAGGTCTGTGGGAAGGGGCCCAGAACAGGGTGGTCCCCGAATGATACAATCTCAGGTCCTGTCTGCGTCATCTGCGAGAGGTTTGCTGTATGTATTCAGAAAACAGGGGTTAAACCTCTGTGAGATGGGATGATGTGTTGCAATGTCTTCAAATAGTCTGGGGCTGACTGGCAGTCGGGCGTGCAAGGAGCCAGGTGAAGAGGGCTTGGCGAGAGCTGCCGTCTGCTGTCCTTTGTTCCTCCAGGTAGGTGAGCACCGCTCTCACAAGGCTCCCCACTGTCCAGGCTTCTTCTTCAGCTCGGGCCAGGAGAGCTGGGAACTGACACAGAGAGATGGAATAATAATATCAATAATAATAACTCCTGCATTTGATATAACGCCTTATCACATTGTCGAGATGCCTCTAAGCTCCAATGGTCTTGGATTGAGTGACCAAACTATCATGATTATTATTATTATTTGAAGGGATTGTTACCTCCAGAAAGCGATCCACCAATTGACTATCAACCAGGTTCCTACTCACCGCGAGGTAAACGGAGGTGTGTGGAGTAAGGAAACTTGCCTAACATTTTGCCCCAGTCAGAAATCAAACCCGGGTTCTCTCGCTTGTAAAGTGGATGCTCTAACCACTGAGCTATCTTCCCTAACCCTAATACCCAAACATAGCAGGGTAAGAGCGCACACGTTCAAACATTAGACCTTGAGCTAGAGTGTCAGTCTAGGTTAAGAGGTGCCTTCCATCAAAAGTGAGAAACTCAGCTGTCCATTCAGGTGGATGTTAAAGATCCCATGACACTATTCAGAACGAGAAGGGGTTTCTCTGGCCTGGCAAACAATCCCTCCAGATAAATTGGCCATTCACCACCTGGCAGTTTGTGGGACACTGTTGTGTCCAATTCGGCTGCTGTATTCATCTACTGAAGCACTGTGAGATGATTTAATGTTACAGGCACTATATCAGTTGTAAAGATTATTATACAAGGTCAGAGTGTGCAGGGCAAGTTTAGGACAAAGACCAGGTGACATAGACTGATTACCAGCGCTTGTTGCCATCACGTGGACAAGCCGTTTGGAGCAGGAGTCAACATGGAATAGTGTTTACCGAGATAGACGAGGTCAGAGAATGCAAGTAGTCGCTCAGAGGCTCAAAATTAATCTTAGCCTTAAGATCACGTTGAGATGGAACTCCATCCCGGATCCCCTCCCATTTGCCACCTCCCTCGCCTCCTTAAAGGCCCATCTCAAGACCTTTGCGACCATGCCTTCAGTCATCTTCCCTCGTCCAAAACCCCCAGCCCTCAATCCACCGCTCTCAGGTGCAAACCCTTTATTGACCATTGTCTTGGGATGTCCCTGACATGAAAGCCACTATATAAATGGAAATTGTTGTTAAGATTCTTCAAAAAAATTAATTTGGGAGCTAGTTTTCAAAAGAACTGGTCTGTAAGACACATGTAAGAACTTTGCAAAATTCTGGACAACCTTAAATTTCATGACAACTGTTCTAAGGCTAGCCCAACGGAAAATGTCAGGCCTCTATCACTGAAGCACTCCCCCTCATCCCATTCTTAAATTTGAAGCGAATATGGTCTCAAGACTAGGAATAGTGCAAGCTTTTGGCATCCGGTCTGTTCCAGTGAGAGAAATTAATAATAATAATCCTTACATTTGAAAGAGCGCCTTATCACAGCTTCACAACATCTCAAAACGTTTCACAAGATATACGCCACAGCTAATTTGCACACAGCATTATCCCGCAAACAGCCATGGGGTGAGTGACCAATTTTTTTATTTGGGGGATTGTCGGCCAGGACACCAGGAGAGAGAAACTCTCTTCTCTTTTTGAACAGCGTCATAGGATCTTTAACATCCACCTGAACAGACAGACTGCACCTCGGTTTAACATCTCACCCAAAGGACAGCACCTCTGACAATGCCCTACACCCCCAGCTCTGCATTGGGGCTTGAACCCACAACCTTCTGACAGTGAGCGCTACTGCTGGGCCAGGCTGACACACGTAAACCCGAACAGTCCCCAGTTTTGGGAGGGAAACGCACCTGTGCAAAGACCTCACTGGAATTTGTGACACAAATCCTGGCGGCTTGGAGCTGAGAGGCCGCCGCCCACTGCAGGACAGCCTGGATCTGGGCTGAGCCCGGGGCGGAGCTGGAATTGAAGTTGACCAACAGAAGCTCGATGTTGCCCGGGGTGGGGGGAGGGGACAGGACGCCCACATGCCCGAGCCCCTCCCCTGTCTCTGGCTGCCACGCCTCTGCGCTCAGGCCGTCCCTGCGCTGAGCGGACATTAAACCCGTGAATTCAACAACATTTAGCCTCGGAGGTTTAACGCTGGAAATGGTAGGAGGGGCTCCTTCGTCGGCCGCCATCGCTGCCTCTGTCTGGGCCTCCTGTTCAGACCACACACTGCACCCGCTGTCAGAGTCTGACTCCGGCTCCTGGCACAACCCGCCAGGATCTGGCCAGACCTTGCCAGCCTCCTCCATACATTGTCCACACAGGTCAGCCAGGCAGGAGCCAAGGATAGTTTGTGCTAGGCTCTCCGCGTAGGCCCTGCTTGCTGGGTTGTCCTGGGAATGTGAGAATCTGTTTGAAGAGGATTCCGGGATGGAAGACTTTCTTCCTTTATTAACTGGTCGTGAATTAATGGCCTCTGGCTCCTCCCCGTCTTCATTGAGAATCAAGCGAGGATCAGATGTGTCCACTTTTGCTTCTTCATGAACACAAGGAGTTGGGTTTTCTCTGGTGACCTCTTCAGTCTTCAACTCCACATGCAATTGCTTATACAGGAGTGGATCTGTGGAAGAGCTCATAAAGCTTCCATTAGTTTTGTTTGCTCCTTCCCGAAGACCATCAATGGTTTCAGTGTCCTCTCTTTCTCTTGAGTTGTGCAAAATTGCATTTTGCTTGTCTTCAGTAAATGCAGCGGAATTACAGGAGATCACGGCGAGGCTGTCTGTCTCACACTCAGTTGTCTCCAGTGGCTCTATTACAAGCTGTTGAGATTCTTGCTCTGTGTTGGTGCCAATGATAGGAGGTTCCTTTTGGGAAGTCTCTTCGATGAGTTGAACTGTATCCATTGCTTGCCAGCGAGGGTGGCCTGGACTTGGTGAATTCTCTGTGTCTCTGTCACCTTGAGACGGTCTCATGATGCTGCTCCCCCTTGAAGGACGTTGAGTTTTACACACGTGGAGAGCAGACTGGACCAGCCCTCGCACCCACCCCTCCGACATAGAGCTGAGCTGCTTTATGTGGTATGAATGTCTGCAGTCTTGCCTCGGGGCTTCAGCTGCGGCTATTTTGCTCTCTCTACGCAAATGACATTCTCGTTCCTCAATTAATTCAATCTGGTTCAAGAAGTTGATGACCGCTGTGATAATTCCATGTGTTAACCTGGCTGTGTATTGCCACAGACAGGCTTCCATTTTTACTGGAAATCCATCTTCCTTTGTATCCCCTTGGCATTTCTCTTGAATCCTGTCTGTTTCAGGAGACAGCGTCCCGAGCTGTGAGGTCTGAGTGTGGGATCGATCTTCAGGCCTGAGGGGGGCACAATCAATCTCCTGACCTGCTGAGTCAGTCCTTTCTGTTATCATCCCATATATAATCTGTGTGGATGAGGAGACAATATCCGATACTAACTGAGTAAAATAGTCTTTTGCTGAGCTTTGGTTTGACCAAGCACAGTTTGCTGGTTCCTCCGTTAAAGCCCGAGATTTCTGCTCCCAACTGTGTGCGTTGCTCTCTGGATGCTCCGAGATGTCTCCAGCAACCTTTCCACCAACCTCCTGAGATAGTGATCGAATCAGTTTCCTCACAAACTCCGCCTCCTCTGCCTCAGTGTCCTCCTCTGACCAGGAAAGATCGGGGTGCTCTTTAGGGGTTGATGGAGGAGGTGAGGGAAGGAATTCTTTGGCCAACCCTCCTTTGAGTTTCCTGGTAAAACTCCTCCGACTTCCCGCCAACTGTGGCTTGAGGGGTGAGGACGGTGGAGCATCAGGATAATCCAGGGACCATTTCTTGGTGAGTCCGAGTTTATCAAAGATCAATTTCTCAGAATCCCGGTCCTCCACCATTCCTTTCTCCCACATTTCTAAATTCTCTGAGAAAGATCCGCCCAAATACTTGTGCATGGTCTTGGTGGGACTTTCAACTTCCAAGTCACCGGCCAGTGACCTCACTACAAGATCTGGTGAGCTGTCTGTGGCTCCTGCAATCTGATCTGGGTCCACTTCACATTGAGGGGTCTGGCTCTGTGACCACAGCATTGCTGGCTCGTCAAACAGATCTGAGATTTTCCTTCGATGCTGTCCATCATTTGGCTCTGACCAAGGTTTAACTTCATCTGCAATACAAGGAGGTTCCATTTCATCTTCAACCAACTGCCGAGGGTCTCCTGACCCGAACAGGCTGGCTTCCTTGGTGCTCTCAGAAATTATTTCCTGGGTCAATCTCAGCAGGTAATCTTCCACAGCAGGAGGTACTCCAACTGAGGTGGTGACCTTCGCCTGTGAAAAGTGGTCAGGAGAAGTGTCTAAAGTTCTTATCCCAGCATCCTGGAAAGATCCCTCTACAATAGCATTTGCCAGAGAGACTATATCTGTGAAACGAAGGCCATCTGGAGAGTGATGAGCATGTCCTTCTTCTCCCTCTGCCACTTTGAGGTCGCACTCACTTTCCATCTTGTCATATGTTTTTACATCTCTCTCTAAAGGCAGTTCAGATTCACCAATAACTTCAGCCATTTGCACTGAATGGCAATGAGTGATGGGACCAGAACAATTCATCTCAGAAGCAGAATCATCTCCACTGGGTGCCTGTGCTTCTGATCGTCCCATGTGGACCTCCTCAGTCACTGCCCCAAGGATCTCAGTGGACATCCAATCAGCATAACCATCAATGGTATCCATGAGATGTGATCCATCATAGCAAGAAAGATCAGAAGAACTTCTTACATCCATGCATATTGTCATAGTTGAAGATTCAAGACCTTCTACAGGGCTATGTGTAGCTCTGTGCATAGAATCAGAAAGTTCTTTAACATCCGGCTTTTTCTGGTGGAAACTCCAGTTTGACGATAGCGTAACAACCCCACATGGAGGAACATCAGCACTGGAAAGAGGAGCAGTGACATCAGGAAGAGAGGCTTGGAAACTGGAAAATCCTTGGTCTTTCTCTGAGATCTGGTCCCTGCTTTCAGCTGAACATTTGCTGGTAGTCACTTGGATAGCATGCTGGAATCCCAATGTATATTTCCTGAGACTACAGAACACAGAACTACTGCTGGAGTTCGAAGTGGGTGAAAGACACATCACTCCTTCTGAATCCTGTACAACAAAATGACATTTGTATAGCGCCTTTCACATCGGGAGAACACAATAATGTTTCATTAATCATAATATCCAGGATAGTAACATATGGAACATGTCACAACTAGTTTCTATTGCAACCAAGGCAATTAGAACCTTAGTAGACCTTGCATTAACTTTATTATGTTGAAACATCTCAAAACATTTCATGGAAATGACTAATATAAAAACAGAAGTCACTAGGAACATGAGTATGTCAGGCCGCATCAATGGAGAGAGGAAAATTAGTTAGAAAATTAGTCCAGCGCCTTGGGATTTCCTCCCACCATGAAAGGTACTATACAAATGTAATTTTGTATTGCATTGTATTGACATTTCAGGTCATGTTAACTCATTTTCCCCTCTCCATAGATGCTGCCTGACCTGCTGCACATTCCCAGCGACATCTGCAATAATATAATCCTTGCATTTTATATAGCACGTCTTTGAGACGTCTCAAAGAAAGAATATACTGAAAGTGAATTGACTGTATATTTTGGGGCGAAACGCGGCAGCCAATTGCACACAGCAATGTCCCATTAACAATTAATCATTTTTTTTTGTAGGAAGGAACTATTACCCACCATAAAAAGGGATCCGCCAATCGCCTAACAACTGGGTTTCTACTTACCACTGGGTAAACAGAGGCGTGTGGATTAAGGGAACTTGCCCAACATTTTGCCCTATCGGGAATCGAACCCAGGTCTCTCGCTTGCAAGGCACGTACCCTAACCAGTGAGTTATAGGACTCCACCTGTTTTAATTTCAGATTTCCAGCATCAGCAGTATTTTTCCTTTTGTACACAGAAATTACTCTTAAGTGAAGTGACTATATGTAGCAACTGATTTTTATGCAGAAACGTCCCACACACAGCAATGAAGCAAATTCTACCCCCGACTCTTCAGTAACTTGCACTAACCCTGAATTGAACCTGCAAGCGAGCGGACCTGGGTTATATACCTGGTGGACAAGTTTCCTTACTCCATATGCCTCTGTATACCTAGCAGTAAGTTGTAACCTGGTTATTAGTCGATTGGTGGATTGCTTTCCAGGAGCAATAATTCAACAAAGAAATCTGGGACATTCAATCCACGACTGTTTGTGGGACACTGCACAATTGGCTGCTACATTTTGCCCAAAATACATAATCACTACACTTTACAATATATTCTGTGAAACGCTTTGAGACATCTTAATGACTGATACAGATCTGTATCAAATGCAAGGATTATTATTATAACATTTAGATACAGGACACAGTGATGGCTGAGAGCTCGGTCTGTTATTACCTGTGAGGCACCCTGTCCCACCATGCAGTGTGGCTGCAACCCTTCGACTAAAATAACACCATCTTCCTTCAGATTCTCCAAGGTGATGGATCCCATCAGCTCCTGGAGTTCAGGGTAAGTGGCCGTCACTTCCTGAAGGAGGAAATACATCAAAGTAATGGCAGAAAAATCACTGCAGAGGTCCTGAAGAACAAGATACCGTATCTCCACCTACTGTTCCGCCATTATAGCATCAAAGGGTTTCTTAAATGAGTCCAACGTCCTGGCCTCAGCCATCCTTCCTGGTCATATAATGAAGGAATAATGAAACAATTGCAATATTGACAAAAGGCGTGGGAAGTGTTAACTGGGATTTCTGAGATTGCAATAAGCTATTTGATGAGATGACCTCTTTCTCGCAACCAATATACTGTACCTTTCACGACAGGAGGACATCTCAAAGCACTTCACAGCATTTACAGCCAATTTGCACACATCAGTGTTCCACAAGCAGCCTTGAAAGACTTCAGTGTCTCATCCTATAATGCAGTCATTATAAACTCAGCTTTGCATTGAAATGTTCCCAATCTAGAGGCAACCAATGCAGCACCTGGAACATTTCACATTATTTTACATTTCAAAGTATGTTGCATATACTCTCTCAACCCCCTGGAGGGATAGACCCTGCTCTTGTAATGCCAGAGTTTAGATACAGATTGGCAAGAACCTCAAAGGTTTGGGAGCCCCAGTGTGTGTGTGTATGTTAGGGTTACTGTTGGGTTTTAATCAGTTAAATCGTTAAACCCAGGTCCCGTCTGCCTGTTCAGGCTATTCGAAAAGAGAAGGGGGTTTCTCTCTCCCGGTGTCCTGGCCAACAATCCCCCAGATACAATTAGTCTCTCAATCCATGGCTGTTTGTGGGACAGTGCTGTGCGCAAAATGGCTGCCGCATTTTGCCAACAAAATACACGGTCATTCCATTTTACAGTATACCCTGTGAAGCAGTTTGAGACATCTCAACGATGTGATAAGGCGCTGTATCAAAAAAGATTATTATTTTATAGAATTTACCGTTTACTGACCAACGGACAATACACATCAGCTAAAGGACAGGACCTCGAACAACACAACATACTCACAACACAGCACTGGAGTGTCAGCCTCTGGACCATAAGCTCAAAGTCCTCGATGTGGAACTTGACCCCCCCCCCCAACTTTCTAACCCAGAGGTGAGAGCGCAACTGACTGAGCCAGGTTACACTTGATGTTTAAAACAGCAACAGACATGTGCTTGGGAAGTCAAGGGGATGTAGAAAAGTCAGAGAAAGGGGATTAAACATCTGCCACGTTCTATTAAACTGTCAGAATAGTCTCGACAGGCTGCACCTCCTCCTCCTAGCGTCCAGTGTCCCCTCGCTCAGTGGAATTTTAAACAAAGCACATTTGTTTGTTCACTTACTTCTCTGAGATGCATTGGTGCCTGTCGCTCACTCCTCTCCATGGTGATGTGACACAGCCTCTTGGTGCTGTGAAGCCAGTCGGCTGAATCCGGGAGCCGCACATCAGGAAGTGCCTGATACGGGGACGGGAACAATCAGGGGCAACAACAACAACGCATGAGATTTACACAGCGCTTTCATGTCGGGAGGACGTCCCAAGGAGTTGGACAGTCAAGAATGTGCACCCGAGCTGGGTCTTGGGATCAGGAGAGGTGGAGTGTAGAGAAGGTGGAGGTAGTCAAAGAGCGTGCCTTCAGTCACCTTGAGATTGACCTTGAAGGAGGCAAGGAAGAGGCGCGGTAAGGGGACTGTGGGATGGAGTTACAATGGGTGGGAGCAGAAAAGCTGAAGGCCTGATCGTTGATGGTGGGATGGGCTGGGCGGGGACATAGAGCAAGTCAGACCCCCCTGAGTGGAGGGAGTGCATATGGAGGTGCTGACCATCAGTGGAGATGTTAAACAGCTTCCAACTGCCTGGTCATGTAGTTCTAGTTGACATTTAAATGTCATATCTCAGTTACCCAGATACCCTGTAAACAAGGTGTGGTTCAGATCTAGTTAGCAGAGGCAACTGATTCACTGTGGTCTTGTGACCTGAAAGTCACTGAATAAAGGTCAAAGCATGGATGAAGAGTTAAACAGCCCACTGATGTGAAGGAATAATGTAAGAGCAAGAGAGAATCATAGAATCATGGAATTATACAGTACAGAAGGAGGCCATTCGGCCCATCGTGTCTGTGGTGGCTCTTTGAAAAGAGCTTCCAAATCAATCCCACTCCCCCGCTCTCTCCCCATAGCCCTGCAAACTTGTCCTCCCCAAATAGCTATCTACTTCTCTCTTAAAGTTGTTATCGAATCGGCTTCCACCAGCCTTTCAGGCAATGCATTCCAGATCCAAAAAACCCACTGTGTGAAAAAAGTTTCTCCTCACCTCCCCTCTGTTTCTTTTAACAACTATTTTAAATGGGTGTCCTCGGGTTACCGACCCACCCACCAGTGGAAATAGTTTCTCCTGGTTTACTCTATCGAATTCCCTCATAATTTTGAAAACTTCTATTAACTTTCCTCTTAATCTCCTCTGCTCCAAGGAGAATAATCCTAACTTCTCCTGAGATAACAGAAAGAATAAAGAGAAACAAAGTCTGAGATTATCGCATTTGGTGAAAGTCAAAGAACCAATAACAGTGATTGGGTGATTGGAGATGAAAGTGGATACCAGAGCCTTAATATAGTGGGAGAGCATTAGAGGAATATAAACAGAATTGTTCGCTGGGAACACTTAGCAGCATTTATAGAGAGAGGAAAGTGAATTAACTTTTCAGGTCAATGACTAAAGGTTGCTGGGAAAACTCAGTAGGTCAAGTAGCATCTATGGTGAGAGGAAAGTGACCAAAGGTCATCAACCTGAAACATAAACTCACTTTCCTCTCCCCATAGATGCTGCCTGACCTGCTGAGTGTTCCCAGCGATCTCTGTTTTTACTTTAGATTTCCAGCATCTGCAGTACTTTTCCTTTTGAGCATTATAGGAAAACTGGTTCAAAAGAGTTTGGAAATATTAACTCTAACCCGCGCTCTGGTTATATTATTCAGGATAACTTACTGGTGTGTTCTGGGCCAGTGGACTGTGTATGGGAGGCTCCTGTTCAGCCATCCTGTTTCAGCAAATATTCTGAAAATATCAAGAATATGAATAAGTTGGTTTGGATCTTACCACAACATACAATTGCCAAACATCTGAAGACAACAAATAGGATTATTTAGACTGACACTTCATTGCAGGAGGAGGAGAACTGCATTGTCAGAGGTTCTGTCCTTTAGATGAGACATTAAACCCAAGCTCCGTCTGCCTGTTCAG